GCAGAAGCTCCACTCTGATTAACGGCTGACGAGGATCAACTGAGCCAAACACAGACACTGCTGAGCTTTACTGGAGCTGTCAGTGTAATCTCTCTATTCCTGCCTCCTCCTGAAGCTGTACAGACCAAAAACTCAGCTGAACACTTTAACCCCTTAAACTACAAGCGTACTGTTTATTCAGTAACTACTATTCAGTATATACCATAACTTATTCAGTAACTGTTATGAATGAATCATTAACTAGTATGATCGATTCAGTACTAGGAATTTTTTAGTAACCAATAATTATTCAGTAACTACTATAAATTATTCAGTATATACCATAACTTATTCAGTAACTGTTATGAATGAATCATTAACTAGTATGATCGATTCAGTACTAGGAATTTTTTAGTAACCAATAATTATTCAGTATCTACTATGAATTTTTCAGTAACTATTTTGAATTATTGATTATCTACTATGAATTATTCAGTATCTACTATAAATTATTCAGTAACTACTTTGAATTATTCAGTATCTACTATTAATTTTCAGTGTCTACTATTAATTATTCAGTAACTATAATTATTCAGTTCTGTAATCTTGATTACATTCTTAAATGTCGTATTTAATTAAGACATTATAATAAAATATTGAAAATTGAATGTTGACCTCACAACTGAAAACTGTATTCAACATGAAGAGATTTGTATTGTTACAGCCCTGCGAATAATCAGGCTGCAGTTTATGGGGTTAAATACATCACCTATTAAAAATGTTATTATGAGAACAAAGCTGTGGACTGTGCTGATGTGTGACAAACGCTGTCGCCGCACCTGCTCATCTCGTAGAGGAAGCGGTCAGCTCTGGCCATCCGGTCCAGCTCATGCTTGTGTTCCTCCAGAAGGTCCACGTCACTTTTCTCAGGAACGAACTTCAGCAGCTGCACAACAGGAGGAAAAACCTCAGCCTGTCAACCACCTGCTTCATATTTCTACATGTTTATTTAACTCTGCGCACATTGTGAGAAGTTAAAAAATGCAAAACGATATATTATCATATTGTTTAGTTATCTGCCCTGAGATTACTGTTACATATTAATATTAGATTTATTTAGTTTGACACTAATTATATGAAATGTGAAGTTTCTAAAGGATCAGCACCATGTTATTTATCTGCAACCAAAATGGTCTTATATTCTTGAAAACACTGATGAAACGTTTGAGCACAGCAAAATACAGGGTGATTCAAAGAGATTCATCTGATTTCAAAGTGCCATATTTTTACCATGAAGCGCCTAGGAACCAATCACAATCCAATTGTAAGAGGGGGTCATAGAGTTTCTGACGGCCACCGGAAGATGTCTCCCTTCAGTCTGAGAGGAGATGAGACCCCTGAGCAGAAAGCGTTCTGCGTTCTCCACTTCAATAAGAGTGAATCCGTCATAACTGTGCAGTGTGATTTTCGTGGTCAGTGAAGCTCCAAGAGCTCAGAGCGTTTGTCGTTGGTTCCACAACACTGGATGATCTCCGAAATCGCACTGAAAGAGCCGTGAGTGCAGCGACACCCGACACGCTCAATCCAGTATGGGATGAGTTTGACTATGGTGTTGATGTTGTCTGTACAGCTGGAGGAGGTTCATACTGAGACCTTGTACAATTACATAATAAACTTTATGCTCATTTAAACCATTTACAGTTTACTGCATTGATCTGTAATGATTTACAACTGAAATAAATCATTTTGAAATCGGATGAATCTTTTTGAATCAGCCTGTATAACAAAAAATTACACATCAGAGCACTCAAAGAAGGTTAAAAGTTCAGAGACCACTTTTAACCCATAGAACAGCTGGGAAACACTGGCAAAGGCTGGTGTTTTTCTTTGTTCTCCTCTAATTCACCTGAATATAAGAAAGGCAGCATAATAAACTACTTTAACCTCTCCATTCGTCCAAGGCAAGGCAAGTTTATTTATATAGCGACTTTCATACACTGCTGTCATTCAAAGTGCTTTACAACTGAGAAAATACAGAGTCAGAAAATAAAGAGCTGTTTAAAAAAAAAGGAAAGTAAATGAGAGAAATAAATAAATAAAAACATGATTTAAAACAGTAGATTTAAGAAAGAAAATCATTACATTAAAAATTAGGACAGTTAAAGAATCAAATTAAAAAGTCAGATTTGGGCAAAAAAAGTGCCGTTACTGAGGAAAAGGGGCTAAAGATGCTAACAGTCTTTAAACAGAGCTGAAAGCTGCTCAAATAGGAACGTTTTGAGCCTGGACTCAAGTGTTGGGGCTCTTCTAATACTCTCTGCGAACTGGGTCCATTTAAAAGCAGCAAGTTTGGAGTAGTTTGGCTGTAGTTTGGAGTATTCCGTTCCTGAAACTACAGCTGCTTTTTAATGCTTCTTTAATTAGAGTTCAGATTAAAGCAGCAGTGTTCAGAGGCCTAGTAAAACCTGACTGCCTTTATACCGCCTTTGGAAACGTTGGCGTTGGTTGCTTGCTGCTCTAATTATCAAGAGAGATTTTTAAAACTCGAGGAGTACGAGACGCGCCGAGCTGTTTGATTAAACCGCAGGCAGAAAAGGTAATCAGCTTTTATTAAAATGAACAATCTGCTCTGACCACAAATGAGGGCATAAGGTTTCTGTTTTCTGTCTCTGCTGTGGCATGTTAATGTCTTAATACTGGCGCTGCATAATATGGACAAAACACCAGTTTTCTGATTACACTGCTGCACATTGCATGTGTGAGTAGCGTTGTAGTATATGACAAGCGCATGTGTGAAGCAATAATGTGACATGATTAAAGACTGTCCTGCCTTATTTTGCACAAAATAATTCTCTATTGTTTGATTACTTGAAAACTCTGATTGACTAAAACACCCACAGAAACTCTTCTGGGACTGGGACTGATCAGGACTCACAGTGCTAAAGATGGGCATTTCAGACTATTTTGATATTCAAATGTTCACCGATCAGGCATAACATTATGACCAACTCCTTGTTTCTATGCTCATTGTCCATTTTATCAGCTCCACTTACTATATAGGTGCACTTTGTAGTTCTACAGTTACAGACTGTAGTCCATCTGTTTCTCTGATACTTTGTTAGCCCCCTTTTACCCTGTTCTTCAGTGGTCAGGACCCCCATGGACCCTCACAGAGCAGGTACTATTTGGGTGGTGGATCATTCTCAGCACTGCAGTAACACTGACGTGGTGGTGGTGTGTTAGCGTGTGTTGTGCTGGTCTGAGTGGATCAGACACAGCAGTGCTGCTGGAGTTTTTAAACCCCTCAGTGTCGCTGACTATCGTCTCTGACTTTACATCTGCAAGGTGGACTGACAAGGTAGGAGTGTCTAATAGAGTGGACAGTGAGTGGACACAGTGTTTAAAAACTCCAGCAGCACTGCTGTGTCTGATCCACTCGTACCAGAACAACACACACTAACACACCACCACCACGTCAGTGTTACTGCAGTGCTGAGAATGATCCTCCACCCAAATAGTACCTGCTCTGTGAGGGTCCATGGGGGTCCTGACCACTGAAGAACAGGGTAAAAGGGGGCTAACAAAGTATCAGAGAAACAGATGGACTACAGTCTGTAACTGTAGAACTACAAAGTGCACCTATATAGTAAGTGGAGCTGATAAAATGGACAATGAGTGTAGAAACTAGGAGGTGGTCATAATGTTATGCCTGATCAGTGTATATAGTAGACCTATAAAGTATGTGTTTTCAATAAAATGGCCAGTGAATGCAGGTGGCTCTAATAAGCTGGCAGTGTAGCGGTAAGTGTTCAGACAGAACGTGGTTTGAATCCAGGTCGGCTATGCTGTGCTGATGAATTTCAGCCCTGCAGCAACAGGTTCAGTATCAGCTGCTCATGAACTAGAAAGGTGTGACATCAGGCTGCCGAAGTAAAACAGGTTTGTGTTGGATATGATCCAACTCAGTGCATTGTGGGTGTAAGTAAATATTAAAGAATGTGACTCGCCTGCTCCAGCATGTCTTTAGGAAGATCCTCGTGCTCATCCATGGTCAGAATGGCCCTCTTAATCTCATCGTTGGTCAACTTTAACCTGTCACAAGATTATTAGCAGTGAGAGCGGCAATACAATGCATTCGGCACAGCCCTCTTCTCATAATGACACTGACAGGAATTAATGAACAGAAAGGGTTAAAGGGAATCTAATCCACACCCATCCCCCCCAAAAACACACACCACCCGAAATGTAGTCAATCAGCCAAGACATATCTGGACATGTTTCTGACCTGAAGCTACAAGGCTAACATAGCTAAAAAGTAATGCAATTAGCATGGTGCTAACTGCATATCTAAATCATCACTCGTCTCAAGCCGTGTAGAGTCGTTCAGTATCTCTAATACACTTCATTATGTGGTTTCTGACACTGTATGACACACTGTTACCTATAAACATGGACTAAAGTACATTAGCATAGCTAAAAACAGTAGCGGCATGTATGTTTGTCCACTTTTATAGATTGTTATGTTCTTGGATGTGATCATTAGTCATAAATGCATTGTGCATTCAGATATGTAATTTTTTTAACCTCTTCTTAAACTCTGGAGGGGGCTGTACATGGCCTGTATTCATATTATATTCTGAATAATTCATTGTAGATGCTGAATAATTCATAGTAGATGCTGAATAATTCATTGTAGATGCTGAATAATTCATAGTAGATGCTGAATAATTCATAGTAGATGCTGAATAATTCATAGTAGATACTGAATAATTCATAGTAGATGCTGAATAATTCAGAGTGGATGCTAAATAATTCATAGTAGATGCTGAATAATTCATAGTAGATGCTGAATAATTCAGAGTAGATGCTAAATAATTCATAGTAGATGCTGAATAATTCATAGTAGATACTGAATAATTCAGAGTAGATGCTGAATAATTCATAGTAAATACTGAATAATTCAGAGTAGATGCTGAATAATTCATAGTAGATGTTGAATAATTCATAGTAGATACTGAATAATTCATAGTAGATGCTGAATAATTAATAGTAGTTGCTGAATAATTCATAGTAAATACTGAATAATTCAGAGTAGATGCTGAATAATTCATAGTAGATGCTGAATAATTCATAGTAAATACTGAATAATTCAGAGTAGATGCTGAATAATTCATAGTAGATGCTGAATAATTCATAGTAGATGCTGAATAATTTATAGTAGATGCTGAATAATTCATAGTAGATGCTGAATAATTCATAGTAAATACTGAATAATTCATAGTAGATACTGAATAATTCAGAGTAGATGCTGAATAATTCATAGTAAATACTGAATAATTCATAGTAGATACTGAATAATTCATAGTAGATGCTGAATAATTCATAGTAAATACTGAATAATTCATAGTAGATGCTGAATAATTCAGAGTAGATGCTGAATAATTCATAGTAGATGCTGAATAATGCATAGTAAATACTGAATAATTCATAGTAGATGCTGAATAATTCATAGTAGATGCTGAATAATTCATAGTAAATACTGAATAATTCATAGTAGATACTGAATAATTCATAGTAGATGCTGAATAATTCAGAGTAGATGCTGAATAATTCAGAGTAGATGCTAATAATTCATAGTAGATGCTGAATAATTCATAGTAGATGCTGAATAATTCAGAGTAGATGCTGAATAATTCATAGTAAATACTGAATAATTCAGAGTAGATGCTGAATAATTCATAGTAGATGCTGAATAATTCATAGTGGATACTGAATAATTCATAGTAGATGCTGAATAATTCATAGTAAATACTGAATAATTCATAGTAGATGCTGAATAATTCAGAGTAGATGCTGAATAATTCATAGTAGATGCTGAATAATTCATAGTAAATACTGAATAATTCATAGTGGATACTGAATAATTCATAGTAGATGCTGAATAATTCATAGTAAATACTGAATAATTCATAGTAGATGCTGAATAATTCAGAGTAGATGCTGAATAATTCATAGTAAATACTGAATAATTCATAGTAGATGCTGAATAATTCAGAGTAGATGCTGAATAATTCAGAGTAGATGCTAAATAATTCATAGTAGATGCTGAATAATTCATAGTAGATGCTGAATAATTCAGAGTAGATGCTGAATAATTCATAGTAAATACTGAATAATTCAGAGTAGATGCTGAATAATTCATAGTAGATGCTGAATAATTCATAGTGGATACTGAATAATTCATAGTAAATACTGAATAATTCATAGTAAATACTGAATAATTCATAGTAGATGCTGAATAATTCATAGTAGATGCTGAATAATTCATAGTAAATACTGAATAATTCATAGTTGATACTGAATAATTCATAGTAGATGCTGAATAATTCATAGTAAATACTGAATAATTCATAGTAGATGCTGAATAATTCATAGTAAATACTGAATAATTCAGAGTAGATGCTGAATAATTCATAGTAGATGCTGAATAATTCAGAGTAGATGCTGAATAATTCATAGTAAATACTGAATAATTCATAGTAGATGCTGAATAATTCAGAGTAGATGCTGAATAATTCAGAGTAGATGCTAAATAATTCATAGTAGATGCTGAATAATTCATAGTAGATGCTGAATAATTCAGAGTAGATGCTGAATAATTCATAGTAAATACTGAATAGTTCAGAGTAGATGCTGAATAATTCATAGTAGATGCTGAATAATTCATAGTGGATACTGAATAATTCATAGTAGATGCTGAATAATTCATAGTAAATACTGAATAATTCATAGTAGATGCTGAATAATTCATAGTAGATGCTGAATAATTCATAGTAAATACTGAATAATTCATAGTGGATACTGAATAATTCATAGTAGATGCTGAATAATTCATAGTAAATACTGAATAATTCATAGTAGATGCTGAATAATTCAGAGTAGATGCTGAATAATTCATAGTAAATACTGAATAATTCAGAGTAGATGCTGAATAATTCAGAGTAGATGCTGAATAATTCATAGTAAATACTGAATAATTCATAGTAGATGCTGAATAATTCAGAGTAGATGCTGAATAATTCAGAGTAAATACTGAATAATTCAGAGTAGATGCTGAATAATTCAGAGGAGATACTGAATAATTCATAGTAGTTACTGAATAATTCACAGTAGATACTGAATAATTCATAGTAGATGCTGAATAATTCAGAGTAGATGCTGAATAATACATAGTAGTTACTGAATAATTCATAGTAGATACTGAATAATTCATAGTAGATACTGACTAATTCATAGTAGATACTGAATAATTCAGAGTAGATGCTGAATAATTCATAGTAGTTACTGAATAATTCATAGTAGATACTGAATAATTTATTGTAGATGCTGAATAATTCATAGTAGATACATAGTAGATTTTTTCTTTTAAGATCAAATAGAGGTTTGACTCTTTTTCCCTGAACAGTGACAGCAGTTTATTCTGAAGCACTATTTTGTCCTGAACTAGATCGGCTGAGTGCACCTCTAAGCTGATTAGCTTTTAGATTAATATTGCCATAGTGGTCGATTGTGTTGGCCAGAAACAAAATCAAAGCCTAATACCAAAGCCCACCTTTCCTCCTGTCAGATTTTAATGGCTCTCTTAATCCTTTAAACTAGGGCCTGACTGATATGACAATGTTGTGGCTGATGCTGATTTTAAGGGGCTAAAAATTCATGTAATTGATTTTAGAGATAATTACAGATAATTAGTTTTAGTAAAGCAGTGCTTTACTAACTAGTATGATCTTAATGATGTAGTGTTCAGATTCACCAGTTCAGCCTGTATTACTGTCACAGAGTGACACAAAGGGGACTCGTATTGGGCTCCACAGTGTTTCTGCCATTTCATCACACTAAAAAATTCCAACTTAAATTTGCTGACTTTTTTGTTTTCTTTGCAAAGAATTTGATTACTTTATAGTAGATGCTGAATAATTCATAGTAGATGGTGAATAATTCATAGTAAATGCTGAATAACTTACTGTAGGTGCTAATTAATTTATAGTAGATGCTGAAAAATTCATAGGAGATACTGAATAATTCATAGCAGAGGCTGAACTTGAACAAATTAATTTGATTAATTCATAGTAGACACTGAATAATTCATGTTTGATGTTGAATAATTCATAGTAGTTGCTGAATAATTCATAGTAGGTGCATTTTTTTTGATAAATAACAGTCTAAAATGTTAATTTTAGTTATTTCAACACAATTTGCCTTAGGACCCTAAACAAAAGTACCTAGTACGAATAATGTAAATATCAGTAGTTAGTAGTTTAGCAATTTTAACTTAAGTTTATTTGTGCCTGAGCTAAAATTCAGAGTTAAGTGAACACCAAACAGTAAGTTAATAAAAAAAATCTGTCTTTCAATGCGTAACGTAAACGTATTTCTATGTTTTATATATTTTTAACTGCTGCTTGATTAATGTGGGGAGGAGAAGGAACTGTGAGCTCAGACTGACCGTGAGAGGAGGATGTTACAGTTCTGCGCTCGACGTCCATCGATGACCGAAAGCTCCTTCACCCTCTTAGTGGTCGCTGTGTCGTCTTCGGACTCTTTCTGCAGAAGCATTTAAAGTAAAAATCAGTATCTCAGCTCTAAATGGCAAAAACAAAGAGCCAGGCACATCGACGACAACCTGAAATATCATAACTGGTTAAGGAGGGAAAAAAAGAGTACAAATCAATACGCGTACAGTCTCGTTTCGAAGTGTTAGGCAGTTTAAAACTCTTTATGTGGGCAGTAAAAGAGGTTTAGCCAGTAACTTTTCTGTTTGTAGCCACTGATCCCTGATGAAGTCCATTCAATATAAAAGAGATATATTTCACACCGACTTGCACAGAAAATACAGACACATCAGGATTAGGATTCAGTGACCCTTATTAGTCCCACAATGGGGAAATTCCATCCATGCAGTGAAACACCACATACACACTAGTGAACACACACACTAGGGGGCAATGAGCACACTTGCCCGGAGTGGTGGGCAGCCCTATCCATGGCACCCAGGGAGCAGTTGGGGGTTAGGTGTCTTGCTCAAGGGGACTTCAGTCACGTACTGTCAGCTCAGGGGATCGAACCAGCGACCTTCCAGTTGTTTTATTTATGCAAATAATTATCAAAACAATATCTACATACATCATCCAAACCGCTTATCCTTCTGGGTCTCGGTGGGTGCTGGAGCCTATCCCAGCTGTCATTGGGCGGAAGGCAGAAAGCCCCCCGGACAGGTCGCCAGTCCATCGCAGGGCAGACAGACATACACATTCACACACACACCTAGGGGCAATTCAGCATGTTCAATCAGCCTGACTGCATGTTTTTGGACTGTGGGAGGAAACCGGAGTACCCGGAGGAAACCCACGCAGACACGGGGAGAACATGCAAACTCCACACAGAAAGGACCCTGGTCAACCGGCTGGGAATCGAACCCAGGCCCTTCTTGCTGTGAGGCGACAGCGCTACCCACTGCGCCACCGTGCCGCCCACTCAAAACAATATCTGTTATATTTAAAATTACATTTGCTTAAATGTTTCTATGTTGTAGCAAAGTTTTCCGGTTAAAGAAACTGGTGGCCAACGGGCCCCTAGCAGCACCACCTCGCCCCACAGGTTAGAGAGCCACTGAGATAAAGAATGTCTGTTAAGAATTTACAGTAACTACATGTACATGAAGCTTTCATATGCAGTACAGTAACACTGCATTACAATTACAGTGGCGCTTGAAAGTTTGTAAACCCTTTAGAATTTTCTATATTTCTGCAAAAATTTGACCTAAAACTTAATCAGATTATCACACAAATTTTCATTTTCCTCAATAAATAAATGACCAAGTCTAATATTTTTGTCTCATTTGTTTAATATGGTTCTCTTTCTCTACTATTAGGACTATATTAAGAAATATAGAAAATTCTAAAGCGTTCACAAACTGTCAAGCACCACTGTAAATATTCATATTGAAACCATCATTAAAGCTGCACTATGTGAGTTTTGGGGATTTGGAGACCTCGCTGGTGGAAATGTGTAACTGCACACAACATGTGTTTTGTAACGTGGGCTGTGCTTCGGACCCCTACCCTGAGCGGATAAATCTGACGATTGTGAGTGCATTGAAAGAGACTTCAAAGAGAATTCAGTCAAAACTGAGTGTTTAAAATGATCATCTTATATCAGCGAATATTTCAAGAAAACCAGTTTCCTGCAGGATCTCAGCAAAGAGGTAGCCAGAGGTGGCCAGTGCCACCCTAACATGCCGTATGGCCACCCTTCTGGTCAGTCCAGTTATGCAAAGTGAGACAGTCAGCTATCAACAATAAAGCAGTCACCAGAGGAATGTCCTCCTACCTGCTCTGCGTGATTGTTTACACTTTACTGTGAAAATCTACCATCAGGGCTGCAACCAGTAATCAGCTGAGCACACAGAGGAGTGAACACTGGACAAAACCTTAACGTTAGCCTTGTTGATTCTCCTTAAAGAAGCAGGTGACACTGGACTTCTACATCAGGAAAACTGTTAAAAGCACTGAAATTTCTGCATCAATACTGTAGCGTTTTTGTTGCACGTCGTGCTGTGGATCACATGATCTGAACCGGCGAAACAGTATCCAGAAGCAAAAACGATACAAGGAACAAAAACAATTTCACTGAACCAAAAACAGGAACAAAATCAGTTCCGGCTGTTTTTAAAAGTGATTAACCAGCTGATAAACAGATTTTATTAATGCAGGCCTAAAATAAGCATAGAAGAACATTATTAAAGGCTGTTTCACTTAGTTTTTCCAAGTACTGGGTCTTACCTGACCACCCTACTTTAAACATTCTGGCCACGCCCCTGGGTTGATGCTATGTACAGCAGTAATGTTTTGCACCATTTTCGTCAATCATGAATGTCGTTTGGAGCGATAATAAATACAACATGGATATCGTTTGAATAATGTTAGCATCACATCTGCACAACAGTGTTTTAGAGCCTCTGTTAAAAAAAAATAAAATAACAGACTTTGAGAAGTCCTAATATTTAGAGAATAAAATTGTAAAAGTACAAGAATAAACCTGCGATATTTCGAGGATAAAGTGGTCTAATTGTAGGGGGGGCTGCTGTGACGAGTTGGGGCCTCAGTTGCTGTAGCAGCAACGACAAAGAAGCCAAGCAGGCTGGAGTTTCGCTCCTTCGGAATCGATCATTGTGATTATCATTCTTACTGTCTCCTGTGAAACTTCATGCCCTCTTCGAATGGCACAGAGATATAACCACTGATAGCTGTGTAGACGACCCTGCCTGAGATTCTCCTTCAACAACACAGACAGACAGTTTCCTCCGAGTCCGTCTGGCTCTTTATTCTAGATAAACACAGTTTCCTGCTCAGCCGTTTCAGCCGGTTCTTATACTAATAACAGGCTGGTGCTGATGAGCAGGAGAGACAGGGAGACTGAGTGTTTCTTTATGGGTGAAACCAAACTTCTCAGCGTCCCTCATTTTAACACGAGGAAGCTGCTACCTTCCTTTATAATGTTGTGAGTTTTTTCTGGTAAAAATCCAACGTTAATGTCATAATTCTACAACTTTATTCTCAAAATATTATGACCTTTTTCTTGAAATATAGCAATTTTATTCTAGAAAATACGACTTTATTCTCAAAGTCTATTATTTTTATTTTTTAAACAGTGGCCCTAAAATGCCGTCGCACATTTGTGTCCTAAAATAAAGGAGTTTTTTTAATGTATTTACATAAATATCAAAATGCATACACTAAACATCATCGACTGTTTTCAATTCATTATATAACACACTCATTAATGAACACATATCAGCGCAGTTATGTAATCATAATGGATTGTTACTGTACAGTTTATGAATTTGCCCTAAATGCATTATGAACATGCAGTTCCTGTAAAGTGTCACTGAATGTTTTTCTCATGTATCTTGAAAATATCTGCAGCGATCATATTATATTTGGACAGATGTGTGACAGACGTGCGCCTGTACTAAGCCTATTGAACACCTGCTGTCTCACATTACCTCAACAATAAAAACTTTCACATTGTGACTAATAAAAACAAAATGACACGCTGCTTATAAAGCTCCAGCACATGCCGCACAACAGGATTATAAAACGGTCGTTATGATTTAAAAACTGCCAGCACGCGGCCATCTGGGAAACAGGCCGCATGGAATAGAGCATCCAGTTGTTTCTCAGAGCAGAACTGCGCTTTACTGTGGGGAGAAAGACAATGAGGGGATTCAAGGATACAGGAGGTCTTTGGGCCAGACTAGACTGGAGCGTTTGTTTAATCTTAAAGGGCCAATATGCCTAATTTTCCTTGGATTTTAATTTGTTCTCCTGAGGTTCACTTACAGCATTTGTGTGGATTTATGTATCAAAAACAGTCATAATTAATTTTTATCTTTTATACAGACATTTTCCGAGCTCTTTGGCCCAGTTCCATTTCTCCCCTCGCCCCGACCACTGAGCCCTTAGCCCTCTGTTTTGTGTGTTCACGTCTAGGGGTAGGGTGTCCTGATTGTTGTTGAGATAGAGGGGTAGGGCGAAGTGTTAGAGCTACATGACCCTCCAAACGGAGGTTTTTCAGAGACTCCAAACAGAGAGTTATGAGAAAAAAAGAAAAATAAGCAAGATGGCTGAACAAGAGACCAAAGAAACCCACTAATGTGAGAATTTTCTCTGTTAATAAATTACGATAACCACTGTTTTATCTTAGTTTAATGTTGTTTCAGTGTATTATGGTCCTTTTCTTCATAACAAGCATAAAAAATCGCTAATAGCATGCTAATGTCTCGGTAGCTAGCTAGCTAACTTTCCCGTTCCACCTTAAATAGTCCAGCAGTTCTGACGCCTGAAGTGCCAGAATGTAACTGCTGCTCCATTTAAGGTGGAACGGGGAAATTCAAACAAGAAGCTGGTGAATATCTGACTTCAGCTTCATATCACTGAAGAATTAGGGGTGGGTGATAATAAATAATTGCCCCCCTCTTTGAAGGCATATGATGTCCTAAATGTAACTAAAGCCCAGCAGTGAGGAGCTGAACTTTACCCTCCTCTGCTGTCACTGCAGACTGGCAGGGTCGCCTACAGAGCAGCGCTGGTAGCTGTTAATGAAGTGATGCTCTTTTTATTTGAGGGTCTCATTTCAGAGGGGAGATTTCAACCACTACAACTAGTTACTCAGTTCCAAGGGGTTAAGGGTGACACTCGAAAACAAGGGGTAGGGGTAAAAACAAGAAATGGGACTGGGCCCACCTTAAATGGTGCAGCAGTTACATTCTGGTGCCTCAGGCAGAATTTAAGGTGGAACGGGAAAATTCGAACAAGAAGCTGGCGAATAAGAAGCGACTTCAGCCTCGTAAAACAGTCGAATGCTGAGAGACATTTAACAAGAAACTGCTCTACTTTTAAGGAAAAGCTTTCTGGCAGAGATGGGAGGAAAGCGGCTGTAGCTGAGCTAAAGCTTAAAGCAGAGCGAAGTAAATCTGCGCTCTCGTTTATATTGTTTAGCCTATACTAGGACATCATCACATACTGAGACATACTGGACATTAAATGTTGTGGCTCCCAAGCTGGTTTGATTTTTGTTGAAAGGACAAAATGGCTCTCCTTATCATTTGGTTTGTGACTCCTGACCTAACCTGGCTTTAATGCAGAGGGAGCTGGCCGGATTTCTCACTCATCCAGTTGTGTTTTTGTTATGTGCCGCCACAGACTGTCCAGGGCGCTGCACTTCCGCACTTCCAAGTTCCGCTTTTTGCGTTCTGTCAACATTACGTTATAAATTAAAATCTAGAAAATCGATTTTTGACATTTATAAATCGATTCAGAATCATCCACGTCCGCATCGCGATACATCTAAGAATCGACCCCCCCTCCCCACTGACAACCATGGAGCTTCCTCCTGTACAACGCTGTGCACACCTCACCTGCATGAACTGACCCTCCTGATGATGCTGCTGCATTTCTTTAATCATAGACATCACTACTCCTGCCTTTCCTTTCCTTCTGTATCTTATATCAATGGTCAAATCTCATTTTCTGCTGTTATTGTTTGCTAAATGGAGTCGACCAGAGGAGGATGGGCTCCCCTTTTGAGTCTTGGTTCCTCTCAAGGTTTCTTCCTCTTGCTCTTAGGGAGTTTTTCCTTGCCACTGTCACCACTGGCGACACTCATGGGGGCTTGGACCCGATTTTTGTGCTTTGTGACAATACCTGTTGCAAAAAGTGCTATACAAACTTTGACTTGACTTGACTAGATCTGCACAGACTGGGAACTGAATGAAATTTTAACAAGTTTTATATCCTACATGAAAAAGTGTGAAAAGTCTTCCATGAAATGGGTCCTTCATGTTGACATCTGCCTTTTTCTCATTGTCACCAAGACTACAATTGGTTGAATGACTGCATGGCACATAAATTGGCAAATTACAAGCAGAAACATGCTGAAACAGTCACAAGTAAACAGACATTCATTCATCAGGATGGTATTTTTCACAGCGCTCCTTCACAGAGCACAATGGATCCATTTAGACGAGCTGCAGGGATCAGGAACAGTTAACAGGCCACAAAAACACAGACAAACAACTGTTTTCACAAAATGTGAATGAAAAAAGGAAGAAAATGTGCCTTCAGAGTGGATATTTTATTTAAAATGCAGACAACTGGATAATAACATTATTATTTTGTATATATTCTTATTTTAATAGATATATTTGATACGCACAATAGCCACGTTTACATGCTGCCTGATAATCCATTAATAGTCCGACTAATAGCTCAATTGGAATAGAACACGTCCATGTAAACACCTCAGTCAGAATAGTCTAATCTGATTGAGGCCAATCGGAATACAGTTTCCATCCGATTGATCGAGGTGGGTAATTCTGTAAATAATCTGTTAAATAGAAGAATAATATCAGTGTAAACGCCTGTATCTGATTACATTCCCTATCGGAAAGTTTAAGTCCGTTCTGATCATGTTCGTCACGTCATAGTGACAGTTTATACCGTTCAACATGGCGGAGCAGAAACTGGTCGGCAGAGGAGACGAAGTTTATGCTCTGATCTTCAAAAGACGGCGGTGGGACGGACGTCCAGCTTATGTGTCTCAGAACACGACGACTTCCTCTCGGCCTTCTTTAATGAGGACATGTGAAGGACGTTTTCCTGAGTCTGACATCATTTTAAAGTCATTAAAAACACAAGCGCTGCTCACTGCTGCTCATCTCACTCTGACTGGACTCACATGATGCTGGTTGTCATGGTAACATCTACACTAAGTGGTTCTTTATGTATGCGTGTAAGTTTGGATCTGATTACTTGTAGTGAGCATGTAAACGGAGATTTTCATCAGATTGTTGAGTAGAGTGAGAATAAACACCTTAATAAACAGTCTTAATTTATAATCGGAATGTATTGAATCAGATTGGAGAAAATCCTTGTAAACACAGCCAGTGTGCTACATCAGAGAAACTGTTGTTTTCTTTCATCCTAACCAATTTTTCCTTTGCAATCATCCTACACTACACCAATAAGAGTCCTTGGGCAAGACTCCTGACACTACCCCCGCCTACCTGTGCAAAAAATGAAAAAAATTGTAAGTCACTCTGGATAAGAGTGTCTGACAAAGGCTGTAAATGTAAAATCTCAAATCCTCGGAATCAATGCAAATGAAATATTGTTCTTACTTGGCTAACTACATGTAAGCTATTTTAACACGTTCACTCAATCCTGTTTTTGTTTATGATTGCATTCTGTGTTTATTTTTACTTTTCACGATTCTTGCTTACGATTCCTGAACACACCAATTTTGTAAAGAAAAACATGCATACTTTAATAAATTCCTGATAAAACTTCCAACATATACAGAAGCAACAGAAACAGCAGAAATCAAGATGAACAGCTGGGACAAACATATAAAGAAATCTATAAGTGAGTTGGTTTATAAAGTATAATGTAAATAAATAAATAAATGACACACCGGCAGGATTTTTGCAAAAGCTTGAATGTGCATCTACTTAGAGGGTCCACTCACCTGTCTAAAGTTATTGAACAGAAGGAAGTCCTAGAGAGCATGCAGGGAGCAGGAATATCATGATGTTAGTAAGAAGAAAAGAGGGTGCTATAGAGAATTATACAGCAGACCACAGAGTACAGAGTGAAACAGAGGAGCAGACGGAGGAGAGGAAAGAGTTACAGACAATTTCAGGTGTAATATGTATACAGTAAATGCACTTTAAGTTGTGCAGAATGCAAAACTTGGTCTTTGATTTGCTAGTTAGTTTAAACCCTGTAATGTATGGGTGTTCTCCAACCGTTTGTACGTACCACAGGTCATTACCAAGCTGGCACTTATATGTACAGTAAATTATTCTACTGAAATAATTGTGTATAACTGTACAAACGTATTTTTCTCTAATCACTGGGTGTTGCTAGCAAATTCAAACTGGGACCTAATTTCCAAACAGTGCTTGGACCCCTAAGATTGCCGCTTGCAGCTATATTTTGGACATTTTGTCGCTTATACAAAGAAAATGGATGAGGCAGAGGAGGTATATGAGGTCGGAGGTTTGCTAGTGATCTGTAGACAGCATCTGAATGTTAAAATATGAAATATGTATTTCTAATCTTCATTTTCTGCCAGGTTTAATCTCAGCCGATTCCCACCCCACTCTATTACGGTGGCCCTCCCTGTCTGTATTACCGTTCTAAGAAGAAAACTACTCTTATATGCATGATGCATGTGCCATAAAGTCTTAAACTCTGCTCTTTTACAGCACGAGGTCAGTCGTACCTGCTGTCTCTGGTAGGCTGAGAAGGTTCTCTCAATGTCCTCCAAGTCCAGGACTTTAAAAACCTTAATGTCGTCCAGATCCATCCACAATGTCCCTTCCAGTTTAGTCTGTGGGACAGAAAAACACATGAACTTCACTCACAGTAGACGATGTTTCGACTAAATCCGCAATGTTTGCAGCCTGCAGTTGTATGCATTAGCCTTGGGGCGATAAACGATATTACTGAATAGCGCGATAATTTCAACCAGTGACAATATTAAGTAAACTATTGTTTTATTTTTTATCATGCACCCTTGGCAGGTCACTTTTTTCTTTCTTTCGTCGTTCTTTGTATTTAACCATTGACTTTGTACAAGCATTCTAATCTATGGTAGGTTAACATTTGAGACCCAAGCTATACCAGAAAAGACGGCATTTAAGTACAGACCACGCAAACATAACTAATTAACTACAAATATAGGTTTTTAAAACGCCACTTAAAAAGATTAGAATGCAGCATTTCAGTCTGGCAAAGAATGACCATGGCAATATTCTGGTTTCCAACCAGACGAACACGGAGAACCATTAGATGTTAAGTGCTACGTGCCATCTATGCAGAAAACTGATCATCACCAAAGGCGGCAATACAGATCTTGAATCCACAGTACGAGCTGCCAAGCCGTAACTTCAGCAGACAGCAGGGCCTGAGATGTATAATAATGTTAATTGTGTATAAAACAATCTAGGTTGTTAAAGACTATAATCATAATAATAAAAATTATTATTATTATTATTTCTTCTAACATAACGGTTTTTTCCAGAATTAAGATTCACTGCTATAATTCTCCTTTGCTGTTCCACTGAGATGCAGCAGTTCACTGACATAGGCCGCAATAAAATGATCTCGTGACTGAAAGACCCACTCACTTGGGTTTTCTTCGTAAATTAATTTTTAACACGATAATATGGTTTATCGCGATAATTCTGGAGACGATAATCATTTGTCTAAATTTACATTATCGCCCAAGCCTAGTATGCATAAGTTTTGGTACCCTGGTCAAATGATATGTCTTCTTGTTTTCTAAGTAACGTAAGTGAACACATCCTCTACGGAGAACACACTTCTGCACATTTTAATTTACAGTTACTGTTTTTTTTTACTCACATATTGGAAAAAGAACATAAAAAATTGGCCTGTGTGAAATTTTCTTTACCAAAAAACCCTTGATCTTTTTTTAAGAATGTACTTTAGATTTTTTACTTTGTTAACATCAAAATAAACCAGAGAAAGTCAGAAGCGCAGACTCAAACCTGTCCATGCAGAATGTGAATCAAAAGTACATATAATTAATAACTGAACTGTGTAAAGATGTAGCTAAATAATTACATTTATTAGCATAGCAACATGATAATACTAATTCTACATTTCTAAGGTGTAAAGATGAAGTTGCAACAGCTCCAAGCTCACAATCTTTGCTGGGTTTCCTGAAAGCATCTTAGTACAAAGAGGATTCTTAAATGGTAGAGCGAGCATCACAATGAACACTTTCTCTAACAGCTTATCCTAACACTAAAGCCCTATTGGAGCTGGATTAGTTTCATCTGGGGAGGCTCTATAATTTGAGTGATTACAGACGAGATCTGTGAATTTAATCCAGAAGTCAGAATCTGCCATGTCTAGTTTTTTCCAGTCGGCTAAGTAATAATCCAGAGTGAATTACCTCCTATAATTTGCTGAACTCGGATCTCCTCAGTAACAGCAGTCCTGTTCAGTAACGTGATAATAGAACCGCATGATAGAAATGGAACCTCCATTTTTGTTCTGCGATGTGAAGACAAGGTTTACGGCTAAATGGAGCTTCATTTGACCCGGTTCCTTAATCTTCAAGTTTAAGAATACTGAAATCCACAACAATTCAGTGTATATTTCCCTCCCGTACGCTACGATTATGCACCATCATTCTGAATTGCTAACAGACGTCACTGCACAGTGAAATGAGATGTGAAGTCTCCTCCTTCACCCAGTTTTATTTTTTGGGGTTTTTGGCACCATTTTTGCCATTTAGCCGCATAACATGTTGTTATTAATCGAAAGTCTAGGACCTGTCGCATAATTCTGATGTAAATGTCTGGCCGATGATGTCTGGATTTGGGCTATTTGGGCTAATTTGGGGAAATTACACAGATCCTTCATGCTGTACAAATCAGCCAGTCAAATCACACACAAACTGCATTACATCTGCTAAAACTAATCCAGCTCCAATAGGGCTCACAATGCTTTTGGGAAACCCAGCCATGAACGGCTGAAACACATTGTACACTCTCAGAAATAAAGGTACTAAACTGTGACTGGGTCAGTGCCCCTCTTGTCACTGGGGTGGAACCCTCAAGGCTCCATCTCAGTACCTTTAGTCAGGGAACATAACTGAACCATAATCCACTGAAATGATATGTTCTAAGCTGTACTGACTCCACACACCCCGTCTCGTCTCCAGGCTTTTATTTTACTGTTCTGTTTTAAAACATTCGGTTATGAAAAGGTACAAATACCAACTTTTCACCTGGAAAAACTTATTTAAGGTTCACAATCAGACCTTAAAACCACTGTTGGAGCTTTGAGGGAACATTTACACTGTTTGTACCTTGATGAATGAAAAATGTACCTGAACAGAACCTTTATTTCTAACAGTGTACCTGTGTTGTTGTCACGAGGGCTGTAACCAGGATCAGAACATTAATGAGATCCATATTGCAGAAAGGTGGTCACGCCACACAGCGAGTGAACCACACTGCCAAACCCTAAGTGCAGGTTTCTGGTCTCCTTTGTGTTTTTCACCACTTCATTAGTGCTTTATGTGCCTTTCATTTGTTCCTTTCCCTCCATTCTATAAGCTCCTATAAACTGCTGTTAGTCCAATTTCATTCTGTTGAGTCAATTATTTAACTATTTGTTTAGTTGCTTATTTATTCATTCATTGTCTCATGTTTAAATGCATGTGAGCTACACTGACTCACCTCATTAAGTTTGGTCCAGTTGAAGGATTTAAGTGGATTTGAAGGTTGAGGGATGTTCTTCTTCTTCAGCCCAAGACCTCCAGGCAGCAGGGGGGCACCGAAGGGTGGTAGGCCAGGGGGTGGTGGGGGACCACCTGGAGGAGGTGGAGGAGGGGGAGGTGGAACCCCACCTGGAGGTGGAGGAGGTGGAGAGATGCCAGCAGGCGCTGGGGGCGGAGGAACTGGGCCACCAGGGGCCCCAGGGCCAAGAGGAGGACCACCGGGAACGTTCGGCCGCTAGAGAAATGGACATAGTTTAATCAGCTAAAGTGATAATTTGGCAAAAAAAGGGTAATGAAGGTGGTCTGCTAGGTATTGCATGGTTACTAGGGGTCCCATTTTTAACTGTACACGCTTAAAATGATGGTTATTCAATTATTTTTTAATAAAGGCAATGGTTTTATTTAGAACCGAGAAAACTAAAAAGAACCATTTACATGCTTAAATGGCTCTGTACATGGGGAAATGGACCTTTAGATTGACGTTCTATATGGTTCTATGTAGAACCTTTTTGAAAATAGTTCTATATAACACCAAAAAGGGTTTTGCTATTGTTATGATGTCAAGGTTGGTGCTACATAGAACCATATACAACGCTGATGTTGCTAAAAGGTAATGGAAGCTTACACCTTACCAATTAGCATGGTGCTAACAGTGAGACACACTGTCAGAAACAGCTTAATCAGGTCTATTAGAGATCCTGAACAACTCCTCAGGCATGCTTTTGGCACCATGTTAATTGGTGGGGTAAAATTTTTAATTACCTGTTAACAACATGAGCCTCGTGGCTCCAGTTGATATCTAATTCTAAACAATATTAGCTGACTGACTGTATTAGAAATAAGGGGAACCTATATAAGTCATTAGGGTACAACATTAAAGGGCCCATATTTTACATTTTTCTTGAAGAGAAAAGCTTGTCTAAATTCCTGAAACGCAAAACAGATCATTGTAAATTCAGATTATATATATATATATATATATATATATATATATATATATATATATATATATTACATTTAATAAACATGTTAGGGTTACAATATAAAACAATAAGTTATTTTAACAATTACACCTCCTTGAGTCGTCAATTTAACAATATTGGTTTTTAAGTCAATTATCTAGAATTCCAATCACCACAGAAGAGCTCGTCCTCACAGTCATGTGTAAAGGCTGAGGCCATATTTTGAGGCACTTTTTCTACAATTTTAACTACAATAATCTGTACATGACTATGAAATATATGATTTAAATGACAAAGAAAACAAATGATAAATAAACATTATAAAATATATAATGAAAGTTGTCCCCAGGAGTCGTGTCACTGGTGTTACTGCATAACAAAAAATCTCTTATTTTGAAATAAAAGTCACACTGATGACGTCACTCGACTTCCTTTTACCTGTTTTCTGAGGATCTATGAAGAAAAGCACATGGTGACTCCACTGTGTCTTTCAGTTATGTTTGATGCTCTGTAGCAGCCGTTTTGTAAAACGCATTTTTCTCTGGTGTTCCTTTATTTTGTGCAACACCGATGACGATCAGTAACACCAGTGACTAATTATAAACAACTGCTCACATAGAGGTTTGCCTTGTCTTAAATATGGGTACCCCCCCCCGTAGCAGTGTGTCTGTAATTAAGCGCAGGTCCAGTAGTGTTTTATATGATCCACACTGCTGTCTGTCTGTATCGTGTGTGTGTTAGTGAGGGGAGCGTACGGTGCTGAGCTCGTGCAGTCGGGCGGACAGTTCAGCCACTTGCTGTTTGACCAGCTTGTGTTCGCTGCTCTCCTTCTCCAGCTTCTCTTTCATCTTACTGAGCGTCTGCATCATCTCCTCCTTCTCCTGAGCCTTCGCATCGCACTCTCTCTCCTTCTTCTCCAGCTTCTGCTGCAGATCGTTGTGTTCTGCACAGCAACAGGACAAAAACAAACAACAGTGAATCGATTAGATTCAATTCCAATTCTTTAGGAAAGAGTGAGTATTTATTGTAATCAGTGATTATATTTACTTCATCAGCGCAGTTGAACTACGCCCCAGAAAAAAAAACCAGCCGTCCCAGAGTAAAAACTGACAGTCCAAAATATTGAATTGCTTTGTTTACATTACATTTTTCTTTAGAGTTGTTGCACCACCACACTGTGGATCCCTAAAAATGACTAATGTCTGTTAGTAACACACTGAATACACGTGTATGCACACACAGACACACAATGAATAAAACACATCTGTGGTCCATAATTACATTTATGCATACAGTATCTATGAGTATGTGTATCAAACACCTGTGACTATGTTTGTAGCATTTTAAGTACAACTTTATTCCTGACAACGAACTGCATTCTTGATATGCAAAACAAATCACTGCAAATTCAGATTATGTTCAGGTTTTCTTGCAATAAATCTTTAAACTGTTTATATTATTACTGGAATGTTGCTGCTTTTCAGAACCAGATTTCATTTTAACGGCCATAAGGAACAGCTGGTAAACAGTAATTATAAACAATTACTAACATTTCATTTGTCAGAATTTATGGCTGCCCTTAGAATAAACATGAGGCAATTGGCAAATCACTGAATGCAACAAGCGCTCGACTAGCCTGTGCTATCATATTCAAAAAGATTCTAGAAAGACTGTGAACCTCTAAAAACGGCAGAAACACCTTAGTTGTGTTACAAGCTTTAACTGTCCAGGTTTAAGGTATAGCATGTTAAAAATATGAGCGGTTATTAGCTTGATACTAATATTACACAGGAATTCCCAGTGACAGGCTAATGGAAATTAGCATTATGTTTGCACTGTTATACGACAGTTCCAGCCACACAAGCTGATTGGTTGAGAACACTGTATCACTCCGCTGAGACGCCGTTGCTAAGCGACGAATTTGACAGCTGTAGGAGACGCTCAAGCCATTTGAACGTTTTTACTTCTTACTTTGCCACAAACAGAAAATGGACACTTTTAAGATCACATTTGACCGACAGCCGATTTGGTCAGACTCTGAAGATGAGACAACACTAAATTCCCAAACTGTCATCACCACTGAGCAGCTTTTCAGTCGGCAGCTGTGACAGAAGAACAGCTGAACAACCTGGAATCAGCCAGAAATGAACCCAACACCATTCGCCAAACTAAATGGGCTGTAAGATGCTTTACAGACTGGCTGGAACAAAACAACATTAATACTGATCTGGAAAAAACTGACAAAACTGAGCTGAACTTGATATTGCAGCAGTTTTATGGCTCAGTCTGATTTGGTCAGACTCTGAAGATCAGACTACACGTTTGGCGAATAGTATTGGGTTCATTTCTGGCTGATTCCAGGTTGTTTAGCTGTTCTTCTGTCATTGGAAGGAACGGCGAACATTAAAACATATTAAACGCCGCGTTCACGGACCAAATTATTTATTTCTTACTTTATTTGTTAACTGTTGTATAAAAGCAGTAGAACACTCGAGGAGTGTGTTATCACCAATAACACACTCCCTCTTGTGTTCTACTGCTTAATTAAATTTGAGGCAGGTGAGGACACTGACACACTCATGATTTCATCACTATGTTTTACAGACATTAAAGGTTGTGGTTTATAAATGTGATAAATGTCCCTGAAGCGTCCCAAAGCGGTTTGCGCTGTGCGCTGTTTCCCAGACGACAGGACAGGAAGTAACACTACAACACAATGTGTTGTACCCAGTTTAAATCGCAGCATATTTTACTGTATCGCTGTATCATGTTAGTGTTGGTTAGTGTGTTAGCTTTAGGCTAACATATTCTCTTGTAGATCAGCACAACTTTTTCTTTTTCAGATACTGTATATTTATAAAGTTTCAAGGTCTAATACAACAAAAATTATATTAATTATATTAACGTAATTCACATTTTCGTTTTATGTCTGCTGTATCAAAGATTTACTGAATTGAAAATTTTATTGTAAGGAATCAAATAATGAATTTTATGTAGTTGGGGAAAAGGCAGACTCGCTCAACGTCATCAAAATAAGACACCAAAAGCCCCAGATGAACTCTGTGGATTCAGAAGTCAGAGTCATCGCTCTGCTGAGACTGAAGTGAAGGTCGAGCTCACATACCTTTCCTCATCTTCTCCGCCTGCTCCTTCCACTGTTTGACTTCGTTCTCATTGACTAACCTGTGAAAACGACAGAGAGAAGGAGGTTAAGACAGGTTACAGCACTAAACCTAAATCCCCCACTTACTAACAAACAAGTAACAATCCTTCAGACAAAGGAAACCAGGCGGACGAGGATCTGTTAGATGTTCTGGAACCCAGAGGAATTTGATAACAACAAGAACAGCAGAACAGTTTCAAACGTTTCAGTTTCAGACATTAATAACTGTGATGTTGTTTATTCTCATTTTCCTCACTGTGTATCTCAGGAATAGAGTTTTTGTACTGAAAAATCTGTAAATGACTTCAGACAGTTGCTTCTCTATTGTCTATACTTTCATGGCATGGGTTTCTGACAGTTTGGTTCCTTAGAGTTTCAGAGTATATAAGCACACATACATAAATACATACAGATCTGCATATATACTGACATACATACATTTACATATATACATATATACACATATCGCTGCTGTCGGATCAAATCCTCAAATCTCCAAAATGGTAACTTTACAGGAGAAGGAAAAAACATACTTTACTTTTAATGAAAGTCAATGGAACCAGACTTTTTTTCCAAGCCGTTTTGGTCCGTTTATTTGGGTCCATTCATTATGAAATTTACACACAATATAAAGGACAATAGGCATTTTCAAATTATGTCAAAAACTGAAACACACACACACGCACTACACACAAATTGGATTAAAGTCTGAGACCAAAGAAAAACAAATATTTTGCTTCTTTTCTAATTTCAAGCAATGTTTTTTTCCTTACAAATTAAACCATCAATGCCGTTTCAGTGAAAATTAGAATCTTCGAAATTTTAACATGAATTTCAGAATTTCTTAATATTCAATAATGCCTCCTTTTGACTTCATGCATTCACTTGAACTCCACACGTTCGTGCAACAACCTCTGAGGAGCAGATCAAATCCACCTGAGAGTCGTCTGAGCACGAGCTTCACTGGAAAAGAATCTGACCTCTTTGTGCAAAAGCAGCGTCACAAATTTGCTTCGATGTGAAGCAGAACCTTGAATAACTTTATTGTAATCGTCATAACTTTATGTTTTAAACTTACCAAAGTTCAAAAAGTTTGTTTATTTCCACATTTATATGAAAAAACGTGGAAATAAATAAATAAATCAATTTTAAATGTGCATATTTACGCCATTTATGCCATTTGGCAGACACTCTTATCCAGAGCAACTTACAACTTGATCATTTTACACAGGCAGGTGAAGGTAGTGTTAGGAGTCTTGCCCAAGGACTCTTATTGGTATAGTGTAGGGTGTTTACCCAGCCAGGGACTGAACCCCAGTTTACAGCATAGAAGGCAGAGGTGTTACCCACTACACTATACCAACCACAATTTATTATTATTACTATTTATTACTATTATTAATAACTACCTCCACTGCTCTCATAACAACCACTGGGCAGATGTGACAATTCCAACCACAGTTTAAGGATGACTTCACTATATAATCAGTAAAACCAGCAGGGGAGCATAAAACTCCCCTCTAATGTACATTTTAAAGCTTCTTCAGATTTTTTAATAATTATAAACAGTATTCAAGGCACCCAGCTGAGTGCTGCACTACATTACCAGTGAAAACCTGTTCCTAAGACTGGATCGAGCCCTCCTGAAATCCAGAGCAGTGGTCAGATTGAGAATGGGGGCGGGGCTTCCTTCCCCAAAACAACCCAAATACCTCAAACTCTGGATTATGGGCTCAGGATTATATTTTTGCAGCAAAATTACAAAAATCCCCACAAAATCTGCCAAACGCCAGACAGTATTAAAAGCTCAGTATATTAATAACCCAAAGTATGGATGTATACAGGAGAACGGGGCCTTGATGTTTACACCAATGTAAGATGTAACACTGAGTTTGACCGTGAAATTCTCAAAGGATACACCCAAAAAATAAATATGAAAATGAAAAACAGTAACTTGACTTACAGGTAATGTTATCAGACCTGAGCTAAGAGTTTAAGCAGCTTCAGCAAAGACTTTAGAGTTTATTCCCATGGCGATAACTAGCTATGAGGACGCCGAGGTCCGGACCTCGTCAGAATCAGAAGGATTCTGAAGGGTTTTAAGAGATTCGGTGTGGAAAAAGGGACACAACTACCGAATGAGCAGTGACTGCTTCTCCACTGACCTCAGAACAGCTGTGGCTCAGCCCTAGACTGAACTGCCTGCTCTGTTCGTCTCTGTTCGAGACGCTACAGAGCACCAGAGTAACTCTGACTTCTTGAGATGTTCAGGTATGCAGCACACATGCTATAGGCTAACATACCATTGCTATGGTAAAAATGCATCTCGCTAAGAGTCATAAGCGCAATTAACACATTAAGATGGTAAAATGCAAACGCTGTACTTCATTTTTTGTTTGGGCTGCTTGCAATGTTGCTGGCTAATCAGCGAGCTTTGGTCTAGATAGAGTAGCTGCACAGGTTATATTAGCTACAGGCTATATTTGCCATTAAATGAGAAATTAAAGTTACTGTGTTACTTATACTGTACTACAACAGGAATGAGACAATTCACTTAACTAGCATAGTGAAGGTAGAGTATCATGTAGCTCACATTATTCAGAAATCAGACGGTACATTAGGCCGTATTTTGTCTCATTAACTGTATGAGTAGCTGCTTTTCCCATTAGCTGGGGTTTGATAGAGACAGTCTTTTATAACGTATGGTTAATGTGTGCCTTTACTGTAATCAGAGGACAGAGATGCAAAAGAGACAAGCAGAGATAGATCGATAGATAGATAGATAGATACATAGATAGATAGATAGACAGACAGACAGACAGATAGATAGATAGAGGTAAAATGATATAAAATCAATTCGAAACTATCCCTTGATTTTGTGTTGGTTATAACACATTTTCTGCTGAAAATAAACATATAAATAAACAGCTAGTTTGATTAATTAAATGAAATTAAACTGGGAAACTGGAGTCAAATGAGTTTATGAAACAGTAATAGCAGTTTATGGAAGAATGGAGTGAAAGTCTGAACAAAAACATTTCCTTCTTACCATGAAATGTAATTGATCAGCCGTCATGTCTGGAATATTTTCTGTTTTTGAGATGCTTCTTGTTTGTGCACAGAGGAATAAACAGGTCTAGTTTTGTTTGCATCATGTGATAACAGTGAGATTTGGAGCTCTGAGGGCTTTTTTGTTGCTAAAAGTCGTTTCTCTTTGCCTTATAGTCAAGTGTGCGCCCTGAAAAAGACTGGTGGTAAGCGTACTCACATTCGCACCACGTTCTTCACGTTGAAGTTCTCTAAAGGAGCCACGTCGGGGTCGTGGCCTTTATCGTTCTGCAGGACGATCTGCTGGACGATCCGGTCGAGGAGGAGCCAGTACTGCACTGTGTTCCCGCTCCGTTTATCTATACAGAGAAACAGCCATCATCCATAAAGCATAGACACGGCACTGTTATATATTACATCATATATTATCATTCAAACATTCACCCCAAATCAGAAGTGTGGGAATTATATGCCTTCTGATTTTTTCCAACTGTTTGATTTAACCTATTAAGTAAGAAAAATAGCCCTGAAAAGGTTAGAATTTAGAAAAAAGCAGCTTTGTGCAGCTTTTTGCTTCGTAAATTAGTTTAGTAAATAATCTGACTTCACTTCATTTGGATTGTCCACTATAGTCTCCTATAGATTATCTACAGAAGCTCACATCGCTAACAAACTATCTGTTGAAACTCTATAGTACAGAATAGTGTAGAACAGTTTATTCTAAACAGTGGTGGGGTTAGGGTTAGGATTTGGACCAAAATTAGGGCTAGGACCAGGACGAGGGTTGGGTTTAGGCTTTGGGTTGAGATTAAGGTTAGGGTTTGGATTAGAGCAGGTTTAGAGTTCAAGAAAATTATGGTCAATTTGGTAGATATTGAGTTGAATGTAACTTAGTAAATTCAGTATCTACAAAGCATCAAAAGCGTGCTATCCAAATAAAGTCTTACCCATTTGGTCTCACTTTATTTGGATAGTCAGCAATATCATTAATAACGCCAGTTATACAGCTGTAACTAATCAGCAGCAATTATTTTCAATAAAATCATTTTTAAATTAGACCTTGTCATTTTTTGTTTCTCTCAGTCGTTTGCAACAACTGTCTTAGTTTATTTTCCTAAATAAAATGCTATATGCATCAAAAATCTGTTTGAGGACATTAAAAACTAGGTAGACCTCGTATGCAGGATAATAACCTGGGTGGTCCGAGGGTCGACCAGCTGTGGCATACAGTCAGAGGGGTGCCGAACTTATCAAGCCGGACTGATATATGCTTGCTATCTGGGTAAACCTTCAGTTTGGGTCACAAATGCCAAAACTTGGCCAAAAAACGAGAAGTAAAACCACCTCAATGATCATACCAATTTCTGCTAGCACTCCTATTGGATTTCTATTACTTTGTTAGCACTAAGCTGATGCTGATGCACCTGAACAATTTTGGCCATTCTCTTAAATATGGACGTATAAAGCTTGTAAAAGACATCCTATATGTTTTATTCAAAGTCTCTAACAGACATTAACATATATTTGAGCTGCATCAGTTTTACAGTGACTCTTTCAGTAAGAAAGTCCTGCATAGAGCTGCCATCGCTGTTTTCCATTCCTGACAACTAACCCAAACCTGCTTAGACTACTAGTAGCTCGTATTCACAGTCAGTGACGTATCTAGAACTTCCAGAAGGACTAGAGTGATGTTCTTACAAAATTGGTCCCTTTGGAAATCAATGGTGATTGGTTGATTCCTCTGTCACTTCCTAACCATGTTGGTAGTTAATCTAATGAGCTTAATGTGCTCCCGAAGTCCTAAGCAATAGGAGAGCAGCCTGGCTGTATCCACCTAGATACCACAGAGAAAACGTTCCTGACTGGATAATATTCCATTAGGGATTTTAAGATTTTATCCTCTTTGCTTCCAACCACAAATTAACACCAAGCAAGATGATTTCATTAAATAAAAATGAACTAAACGTTACAGACATTTACTGTTCATTTGCCAGAAACTTCTCAAACTTCTCAGAGTGCATTAAAGGCTCTGAAATGTTCCCCCTGTTAAATAACATTTTTATTGTTCAAACTATTGTTAAAACGCTCTTTGGGCCCAAAGCTGGTTTAAACACCAGAAAGGTTTGAGTGCTGACGTCACAAAAACGAGAAAACAGGTTCGTTTGCATTTAAAAACATACTGAAAAGCTAACTGCCCCCACAATCTTACTGTACGTGTAAGTATCGGCATTTATAAAGAGGTACTTATTTATTTGAACTGAACTGTATTTTATCTGAGGCTGTATCCTCAACAGACTAGTCTTGTTTTATGCTAGACAGAGTTACTAGTGAGTGAGAGATGCGCTCATGGTACTTCAGCTTTGCTGTGGGAAGAAGGAAACATCCCTCATAAAGTAAATCCATACATGATGCCAAAACTAAAATGTTTCTCCCAGTTTTATGGGTTCTAGTTAGTAAATATTGTTGCTCTTGGCACAAAACCTCACATCTGTAAAATGCTAACTTTACAGGAGAAGGAAAAAGACCTTAATGTTCATATAAACCAACGTACAAACAATTTATTCCAAGTCATTTTAGATTATTTCTACTCGTCTATTCATCATGAAATGTCCACGCAATATAAAGAGCAGCTGGTGCTCTTATATTGTGTAAAAAACTACTATTTTATTGACTAAAGATATAAATATTTCCAGCATCCAAATACAAAAACCCCTATTATTCACCCTTTAGTCCTGCTAGGCCTGCTAGATATACAGAGTTACTGCTAGAGGACACTAACGGTACATTTGCTTTACTGTAGAAAGAACATCAGGGAACAAATTCGCACAGAAACATCACTTACAAGGCATGTGGAGGCAGTGCTGCAGGACAGAGATAAAGTGCGGGAAGGCGTCCGTGTGGTTGATCTTCTTTCGGATCAGCTCGAACACCTGAGTGGCACTTTTAGTGTCTATATGAACCTGAAGGGAACAGAGAGATGAATAACACAGTGAGACCAGCTCAGCAATGGAAGGTCATAAAACAAAATGGTTCAGAAATAAAAACATACATTTTCAAAGCGTTTGGCCAGGGCCAGCTCGTCTTCATTCCGCAGCATTTCAAAGTAGTCCAAATGTCTAGAACAACAAAAAGATGGCAGAAGTTTAAGGGCGAATAAAATTGACTTCACAGCAGCCTGAAATATATAATCTAAAGGAAATTCTTTTCTTTATGGAAGAATCTGCCAGAATATTCCATTCATTTTCTAATTAATTCATTTCTAATTAATAATGTGGATTTGGGGGAGCACAACGTAACTATATGTACGCATACATTTTACATTATACATAAATATATAATATTTACATACACAGTGGAGGAAATAAGTATTTGATCCCCCACTGATTTTGAAAGTTTGTACTCTGACAAATAATTAAACAGGCTATGATTTTTATGGTAGCTTCATTTTAACAGTGAGAGATGGAATATCAAAAAGAAAATCTAGAAAATTAAATAATATTTAAATAAAAAATAATTTGCATTTCACTGGGGGAAATAAGTATTTGATCCCCTAAAAACCATGACTAATGTTGGCTCCCACAGACCACTGACACACCCTAATCTCAGTGAAGTCGTTACCTGCATGAGAGACACCTGTCCCAAATTGTCACCTGTATAAAAGGCCACCTGCCAACAGACTCAGTGACACTCCAACATCTCCACCATGGGCAAGACTAAAGAGCTGTCTAAAGATGTCAGGGACAAAATTGTTGACCTATACAAGGCTGGAATGGGCTACAAAGCCATAAGTAAGAAGCTGGATGAGAAGGTGACAGCTGTTGGTGCAATTATTCGGAAGTGGAAGAAGTACAACATTACTGTCAGTCGACCTCGGCCTGGAGCTCCATGCAAGATATCACCTCGTGGAGTCTCACTGATCATGAGAAAGGCTAAAGATCAGCCAAGAACTACACGGGAGGAGCTGGTTAATGATCTCAAGGCAGCTGGGACCACAGTCTCCAAAAAAAACCATTGGTAATACACTGAGACGTAATGGTTTAAAATCCTGCAGTGCACGCCAGGTTCCTCTGCTCAAGAAGGCTCACGTCCAGGCCCGCCTCAAGTTTGCCAATGAACATATTAATGACTCCGAGAGAGACTGGGAGAAGGTGCTGTGGTCAGATGAGACCAAAATTGAGCTCTTTGGCCTCAACTCGACGTGTTTGGAGGAAGAAAAATACAGAATATGACCCTAAGAACACCATCCCCACCGTCAAGCATGGTGGTGGAAGTATTATGTTTTGGGGGTGTTTTTCTTCTAAGGGCACAGGCCAACTTCACCGCATCGACGGGAAGATGAACGGGCCATGTATCGCAAAATCCTGGGTGACAACCTCCTCGCCTCCGCCAGGGCACTGAAAATGGGTCGTGGATGGGTCTTCCAGCACGACAACGACCCAAAACATACAGCCAAGGAAACAAAGGAGTGGCTCCATAAGAAGCATATCAAGGTCATGGAATGGCCTAGCCAGTCTCCTGACCTCAATCCCATAGAAAATCTATGGAGAGAGCTGAAGCTTCGCGTTTCCAAATGCATGCCTAAAAACCTTAAGGATTTGGAGATGATCTGCAGAGAGGAGTGGCCAAAATTACTCCTGAAGTGCAAACCTTATAAAAAACTACAAGAAACATCTGACTGCTGTGCTTGCCAACAAGGGTTTTGCCACCAAGTATTAAATGATGTTTTACTAGGGGGGTCAAATACTTAATTCCTTCAACGAAATTCAAATTAATTTTTATTTCTCATTTCATGTAATTTTCTCAGTTTTTCTTTTGATATTCTATGTGTCACTGTTAAAATAAAGCTGGTATAAAATTATGAGACGTTTCATTTATTTTTTTGTATTAAAACTTTTAAAGTCAGTGGGGGATCAAATACTTATTTCCTCCACTGTAAATACTGGACTATTTCAATTCTTATAAACATACTCACCGATCCAGCGTGGAGTTTTCATGCGTTCGTAATTTGTCGATGACTGGTTGGATGCCCAGCATCAGGAACTCGTAGCGTAAGTGAATTCTGAACTCCAGACTGGTCTGCAGGGTGAAACATTCAATCTTAATTTAAGAAAACAGTTCAGCAAAAAATCGAATTTGTTTAAATGTTCCCCCTTTAGTCCAAATGCAGTTGATCAGTCAACACATGTTTGCTTGTTTAGGAGCCATGTGGCTAAAATAGCTGAGTTTATTCTTGATCTTTTATTTGGTTTTAAGTTACAGGGATAAAGCATATTAATAAACATTTCAATAAATGCAGAGTGAGTGTTTTTCAAATGTGGCCCTTGGGCAGGTATGAAATGACAAAAGCACTCATAACTTACATAAAGCATAAGTGATACATACAGCAACACAAGACAACATATAAAAAGAGCAGGATGTCGGCTTTACAGACCAAGAAAATGTTCGTTTGTTTTTCAGCCACATGTAGTGCAACCAGGCCGCTCAATCCAAGAGTGACCTGCTCTTACTGAAAAAGCTGACTGTCTAAAGGACACAATGTCAGCAAGAGGCCTCCAGAATTTTGATTTTGAGACATTCAGGGGGTTCAAGAGGTTAATTAAGGACCCATATTTCCCACCTTGCTTGCAGGTATCACGACACATCTGTTCAATTACTTCTTTTAAATTGAGTTCTGCAAGAATAAGTTACTCCAGCTTAAAAAGCCTGATGACTTTAACAGCCTGACTGTATTTAAAGGGGTAGAAACACAGAAAACTGACTGTCTTGTTTTCATGAAATAAGACAATAACAGTTTGCTGCAGCACATAAACACTGTTTAAGTTTCAAAATGTCCATACAGTCCATAAATGGAAATTATTCTGTATTAACTGTTTTTGTGATGTCATGAAAACAAACTCCTTTGCTGCCTATTCTGCCTACATCAGTTTAGCTCCACCCACTCGCACTGAGGTTATAAGAAGTGTTTCACCCAGAAGGCGGCAACCAATCAGAGCAGAGCTTACTTACATATTTCAGACATTTACTACCTTTTGATTTGCTTTTTAAATGTAAGATTGGAATCAATTATAATATAAATACATGAACACATTTATTTACACTTGATACTACTTTAAGTTTCTCCCCACATACATAGACATCTGGTGTGGAGTTCTCTGTTGATCTCTTAGTACAAACACTCAGCTTTATTTCATTAAGGTGAAGAATCATTCAGCCACTGCAAAACTACAGAAGCAAATTTCAGACATCAAACATGTCTGGTCTACATTTGGGGTGAGGGGGGTGAGGGGAGTTGGCTACACTGAACTTTCACTTTCAGCAGATCTAATATGTACATAATATCTCTGTATGACACTAAACATCTGAGTAATATCTCCTGTATATGATGAATACGAGCTCTGAGGAGCTCCAGCCTCACCTCTCCTGCCCCCTGACTCAGCACAGCGTTGATGAAGGACATTATCGCTGTCTTCAGGTTCACCTCATCTCTGTACCGCCCAGTGCTTCTGTCCAGATCATTCAGGAGAGTCTACAACAAGAGGGAGAATCGGATAAGAAAAAAGCATAGAAAGACAGGCGGGTCATAGCCTGTCCGTTACTCTACTCATAATTAGCTAACAATGTGTGCATCGACTTGAAGGTTGTGAGGCATCTGCACTGATTTTGCAGAGACGGAAGGAAGAACACTTTATTATAATGATGCTCAATAAAGTATATACACTAATATTATGTCCAAAATAAAATTTCTGAAGTCAAAAAAACATTATTGGTGTAGTTTAGGATGATTGCAAAGGAAAAATTGGTTAGAATGAAAGAAAACAACAGTTTTTCTGATGTAGCACAGTGTCTGTGTTTATTCTCACTCTACTCAACAATCTGATGGAAAAACTCCGTTTACATGCTCACTACAAGTAATCTGATCCAAAATTATACACATACGTAGAGAACCACTTAGTGTAGACGTTACCATGACAACAAGCATCACGTGAGTCCAGTCAGAGTGAGATGAGCTGCAGTGAGCAGTGCTTGTGTTTTTAATCACTTTAAAATGATGTCAGACTCAGGAAAACGTCCTTCACATGTCCTTATTAAAGAAGGCCGAGAGGAAGACGTCGTGTTCTGAGACACATAAGCTGGACGTCCGTCCCACCGTCGTCTTTTAAAGACCAGAGCATAAACTTCGTCTCCTCTGCAGACCAGTTTCTGCTCCGCCATGTTGAACGGTATAAACTTTCACTATGACGCGACGAACATGATCAGAACGGACTTAAACTTTCTGATAGGGAATGTAATCAGATACAGGCGTTTACACGGATGTTATTCTTCTATTTACTGGATTATTTACAGGATGACCCACCTCGATCAATCAGATAGAAACTGTATTCCGATTGGCCTCAATCAGATTTGACTATTCTGATTGAGGTGTTTACATGGACGCATTTTATTCCGCCTGAGCTATTAGTCGAATTATTAATGGATTATCAGAATGCATGGCTATTGCTTTTTTATACTTTTGAGAAGAATTTGGCCTTAAACATATATTTTTAAATCCCTTCTTGTTGGAAGGATATATTTAGGGTGTCATGAGGCAAAATAGTCCATAAAGAAAACTTACCATCATCAACATTACATATAAAACCCCAGAAGACTCACTGGTAATTCTGGATAGTAAATAAAATGGTTATATTTGTGTCACAATCCCTCTGTTTACATCTTAACCACTGAACTATGAAGGAATCTGTAGAATTCCCCCTTAAAATGTTTTATGCAAGTAGCCACTGGACGACTGAAAACCTCCACAGATGCTATTATATGCATTAATAGTATCTTTATCCCTTTACTAACTACTATTCGTCAATGAGTTTTTCCTTTTATCCCCACCTGAAATCTCGTCCTTTCGCTGGCGAACTTCTGGTAATGCAGCATCGCCTCCAGAATCTTCCGGTGACCTCCTGGCACCAGACACACGGCCCCCATGATCTCCAGCACGGCCACCTTGGTTTTGATGTTCTCTGTGGCCAGGCTCTGGGCGATGATGTTGATGCTCTCGGAGTGGGCGAGGACGTGCGCTCGGCCCTGAGAGTTATTCATCAGCGCCTTGATGCAGCCGATGAGCGAGGTGTGAATCTGAGACTCCGTCGTCTCGTAGTCCATGTTCTTCAGGAAGTTCAGGATACACGTCAGACCGTCCAGGTCGATGAAGCGCGTCACAAACCTGCAGAGAAGAGAAGGCAGTTCGGATTTAATCCAGTGGAAAAGAACCACATTCTAACTCGGAAAAATGCTCATTTTTATTTATTTCTGTAAAACCTTCATGAGTAGTTAGGAATCCTTTAAGAAACCACTTTATTCAGAACTACAGTAGATCACTCCACTAAAGGACCTGGTCAAATATTAAAAAAAAACATCAACAGCTTTAGTTGGCCTCTTATTCTCCAGGGTATGTTTTGGTTTGTCCATCTGAATTTACATGACCAAATCGTGAGGCAAATTATTCAGTAACTGCATGAAATAAATGTAAATTTTTATTTTATTTAAATTTTTTTTTTGTAAAAGCTCCCCTCAAATTAACAGAACGTGTTTTATGATACACATATTGCTATATGCTTACAATTTACTGCTGAAAGCCAAAAATCTTAGACGCTCTTTGTATTATTTTATAAAAATAATGTTTACAGAGCAGATCACCGAAGAGACGCCATCTGTTTATAGTTTGTGGCCCAGATTTGTGGAAAAATGGGTCGACTTTCAGTAGAAGTTCAGCTTCTTTTATTATAAGGGTTTAAAATTACATCACCCATCTATTTGACTGGAAAGAAGACAGTTACAGCTTATATATGACCCCCACCTTTAGAATGTAGCTTATGAAATATGAAAGTTATGAAGAATATGACAAAGTGCGTTTTGGAACCACCGTTGAGTGCTTTATTGACTTGTCAGCTCTCAATGCTCACAATTTCTAAACTCATAAGTAAACCTCAGAAAGTTTTAATTCTATATATTTTGTAGCACTGGGGGCGGAGCTTCCGAAAATTCTTGCAGGTTTTTAAGGTTCAGCAGATTAACAGTGTCTTAACACAAGATTCATACAACGCAGCAGCAGGTTTAGCGTGATGTTAAGAGTAAACAGCGCAGTGGTAACATGTTTGTTCTTTCATGAACAAGGATGACTGGCGTGTTTTACTGCTTGTGTGATGTGAGGCTGCACTTTTCCTTCATTTACGTGCACCAGTAGCGATTTATAGCACAACACAATTCCCCCAAAAATAACGCCTGAACCGCTCTGATGGTGATTTTACCCAAGAAACCTTCTAACTGCTGTAGGACAACAGAGGAGGAAGAAGAGCTGCTTTCAGTTTAGCAGATTTAATTGACACTAAATTTAAAACAGCCACTTCTTCCTGCAGAAAATTCCATATTTGGCGAATCTTCCTCCTGTGTGTGGAATGCCAGTTCAGCTTGGGAAGTGCAGCAGTTAATTCTATTACAACATAACTGCAACACCATTTAAGGTGGAACAGACAATTTGGGTCTATAGAGTCACAGTTACTCTACAGTGTGTCTATGCGGTGAATTCCTGTTTTTGGTTGTCTTACGAAGAAAGACACCAAGTTGTGCTGAGGAAAGAAGTGATTCTGGTCATCCTTAATGGCTGAGTCTTCTTTTATTGTGTTGTCTGTGTGACCTGGATGTGGTTCGAGAGGGTTGAGAGAAGTTTTGAGGAAGCATTTACTATTGACTTCCAGTGTTTGTCAGCAACTTTAGTCTCAGGGCTCTTCTAAAATTAAATTAAAGAAGCTAAATTTGGACACCAAACATATCTTGGCTGATGGACTGCATTTGAGCTATGTGAAAAATCATGAAAAATGCTTTAATATTAAAAAAGTTCCTTTAATATCGACCGTTTTTTCAGCCAAAAGGACGTACTCCACTGTGCAGATTTTAAAACTACAGCTTTTTATACAACAGAAATTCTCATCACAGAGAGGGAGTTAGGCCCAATCCCATTTCACCCCTCACCCCTACCACTTAGCCCTACCCCTCAGTTTTGCGCGTTCACGTCTAGGGGTAGGGTGTCCCGATTCTTGTTGAGATAGAGGGGTAGGGTGAAGTGTTAGGGGCTACATGACCCTCCAAACGGAGGTTTTTCAGAGACTCCAAACAGAGAGACATGAGAAAAACAGAAAAACCGACAGGATGGCTGAACAAGAGACCAAAGAAACCCACAAATGTGAGAATTTTCTCTGTTAAAAATTACGATAACCACTGTATTATTTTTGTTTAATGTTGTTTCAGTGTATTTTGGTCCTTTTCTTCATAACAAGCATAAATAAATTGCTAGTAGTATGCTGAAGCGCCAGAATGTAACTGCTTCACCTTTTAAGGTGGAACAGGGAAAATTCAAACAAGAAGCTGGTGAATATCTGACTTCAGCTTCATATCACCAAAGAATTAGGGGTGGGTGATAATAAATAATTGCCCCCCTCTTTGAAGGCATACGATGCCCTAAATGTAACTAAAGCCCAGCAGTGAGGAGCTGAACTTTACCCTCCTCTGCTGTCACTGCAGACTGGCAGGGTCTCCTACAGAGCAGCGCTGGTAGCTGTTAATGAAGTGATGCTCTTTTTATTTGAGGGTCCCATTTCAGAGGGAAGATTTCAACCACTACCCTGTAACTCAGTTCCAAGGGGCAAGATGACACTTGAAAACAAGGGTCAGTAGTAAAAATAAGATTGGGCCTTAGAATCAGTGACATGTTTTGACCTGAACAGGGGTAAAAAGAGGTTTAGTGTCAAACCTGCAATCTTCACACAGACTTTACCTCATGGGCTGCGTTCTTAAGGCTGTCTTCAGACTCTCTATGGTCTTGTTCCTCTCCTCCTCATCCTCTCTGTCCAGGGCCAGAACTGTCTTTCTCTGAGGAAGAGTAGTGCAGTCAGTTAGCGTTGCCAAATATACACTCGTACAACACGTCCTCTACAGACAGAACTCTTAAATATGGCATTTTTACACATTTTAGTGCACAATTTAAATTTGAACATACTAGAAATGAAGACACATGAAACTGAACATGTGCCATAACTTTTGCACAGGCCACGTTTTCTGTTTTATTTTCTTCCAGTGTGTTAAACTCAGCAAATAAACAGTAACTGTGCATTAAAATGTGCAGAAGTGTGTTCTCTGTAGGGGAAGTGTTCAATTATTTACACCTAGAAAATCAACAAAACATGTTATTTGACCAGGGTTGCGCAAACTTTTGCATATGAATGAAAAAGGAAAAAATACTGTCACTGTAGAAAGTATCAACACCACTGAACGCTGCGCCTCCACATAGATTTCAGGTCAAAAGTTGAGCTTTTTTTAAATGCTTTAAATCAAAACGAGTTTTCTTTGTCAGTTTGGAGAAGCTTTCCATATTAAAGCCTAATCAGACGCAGTTAGAGAAGGACAGCACTGCACATTTAAATATTTGGGCAACATTCATGACAGAGGCAGCTTGGGAATAATGCCGAGCCCCATTGGTAACACTTTACTGGAAGGATGTCCACATGACACATTCATAACATCTTACAGACACACTTCATAACATGTTCATGAATATTTAACTCAACATTCATACAGTATACATGTTGCACAAGTCATCTTTTTTTATTTTGAAAAACTATTTTTTGTCTTTTGATTTTTCTCAAATTTTCTCCCCAATTTAGATGTCTTTAATTCCACCCGCTAGTTAGGACTCCCCCAATCACACGATACCAACAGCGCTAGGAGGGTGAAAGCTAACACAGGCTTCCTCCGAGACCTGTGAAGCGCCACCGCTTCTTTTCGAACTGCCGCTCACGCAACGTCACTGGACAGCTGAACGCGCTCGGAGGAAAGCGCCAACCGCCAGATCTGTTACGTCACCTAACACACGCCTGCACTGAGTAGCATCGCGCTGAGTGATGGGGGGGAGACAGGGGGGCCATCCTACCCACCCAGAGAGAGCGAGGCCAGTTGTGCTCTCTTGGACTCCTGGCCAGGACGGATGTAGCATCACCAGGCATCGACCTCATGATGATAACTCACCTCATGATGATAACTCAAGCCAACACTCAGACAGTTGCGCCACTCGGGAGCAAACTATATCATTTTCAGTGCAATGCCTCATTTCTGGACAGCCAAAATAAAAATGACCTTGTTTGACCCCTTTGGTTGTTAAGCGCTTTAACACTCGGCACATTTCGTCTATACTTTAAGCCTCTTTTTAATTACTTGCTTCTTCTTACGCATTTGTATTTTGCACTTGGTTATTCTTTCTCCTCTTTATTCTGTCTTCTTTAAAACGTTACTGTGCCATATGGCCAGTTTGACAGTCTATACACTGTTGAGGAAAACGTTGTTTGTTCTAAGTGTAGCTCTCCTGGGGTTAAATGCTATCACTGTTATCCCAAGGATTAATCAATTCTGTTTTATCTTTACTTTAAAAGTGATGGAAGTTAACCAGACTGAAATGCATGTTGTGTGGATCTTTAAACTGCAATGCAAAGTAATCTACTCACATTCATGTGACTATCCAGCACCTACAGGGAATGGATGAGTATTATGGCCCTGTAAAATTCCTTCATGCAGTGAGTCCCACCATCATGCGAAGATCGAATGATTCAGTTGAATGATTGTTCATAGCATATGAGTAATTTACTGTCCGTGTAGTAAAGTGACATGCAAAGCAACTCATGCTTAAGAAAAAAAACAAATAATAAAAAAGAAGTCTAAACTGAAAAGTGAAACGTACCCGAGTGTTAAAGCACTTAATGCACAAATGGGTAAAGCCGGTCATTTTTATTTTGGCTGTCCGGAAATGAGGCAGATTACTGAAAACAATATACTTTTTCAAAAAAAAAAAAGAGGACTTTTATTTTGAAAAACGTATAACAGTAAAATGACATTAACGTCATGTAAAACCCATATACTTTATAATTGTTGATTTAAAAATTCGCTAACATGTTATACAGTGTTTATGTAAGATGTTAGAAATGCATTATGTAGATACCCTTTGAGTAAAGTGTTACAGCCCCGCCCATTTCATCCCCTTGCTGTGATGTCAGCACTCTTCCAGGTGTTTAAACCACCTTTTCAGCCACAAGAGTTTCAATATGTGGTTTTAACAGTGTGTAAAATTATTTAGGCAAAAAAACCTGAAACAAGAAACACACACTGATGAACATGAAGCTGAGCGTAGAAGATAAATATACACAGAACTGTATCTGTACTCTGCGCCATCTATGAACACTCATTACTCCACATGCCTGATAAGTCTTTCCCAAAAGCAAGAACAACACAAAGTCAATTAACTTTATCACCGTGGCTTCCACACACTGCACACTGAGTGTTTCACTGCCTGTGACCTGCTTTGCACCATGGCTTACTTTCTCACTGCCTCTTTAAATAAATACGTAAACAAATGCCCCCTAAAAATCTACAGCTGTTTACCAAAGTACACATACACTCACTCCCTGGCCACTTTATTAGAAACCCCTCTCTTGTAGCTCCACCTTGCTGTGTATAGATACAGACTGTAGCTCATCTAGCCCCCTCAGACTATAGCCCCCCTACTCCCCATTCATCCCCATAAGGTGACCACCACAAGCAGAAAGTAAGTGTTTCTAAAAAAGTTGCCAGTCAAAGAAAGCGTAAGATAGGTGTTTCTAATAATGTGGCCAGTGAGAGGAAGTACACGATAGGTGTTTCTAATAATGTGGCCAGTGAGTGGAAGTACAAGGTAGGTGTTTCTAATAAAGTGGCCAGTGAGTGGAAACACAAAGTAGGTGTTTCTAATAAAGTGGCCAGTGAGTGGAAGTACAAGGTAGGTATTTCTATTAAAGTGGCCAGTGAGTAGAAGTACAAGGTGGGTGTTTCTAATAAAGTGGCCAGTAAGTAGAAGTACAAGGTGGGTATTTTTAATAAAGTGGCCAGTGAGTGGAAGCACAAGGCGGGTGTTTCCAATAAAGTGGCCAGTGAGTGGAAACACAAAGTAGGTGTTTCTAATAAAGTGGCCAGTAAGCAGAAGTACAAGGTAGGTATTTCTAATAAAGTGGCCAGTGAGTGGAAACACAAAGTAGGTGTTTCTAATAAAGTGGCCAGTGAGTGGAAGTACAAGGTAGGTATTTCTATTAAAGTGGCCAGTGAGTAGAAGTACAAGGTGGGTGTTTCTAATAAAGTGGCCAGTGAGTGGAAGCACAAGGCGGGTGTTTCCAATAAAGTGGCCAGTGAGTGGAAGTACAAGGTAGGTATTTCTATTAAAGTGGCCAGTGAGTAGAAGTACAAGGTGGGTATTTCTAATAAAGTGGCCAGTGAGTAGAAGCACAAGGCGGGTGTTTCTAATAAAGTGGCCAGCCAGTGAGTGGAAGCACATGGTAGGTGTTTCTAATATAGTGGCCACTGAGTGGAAGCACAAGGTGGGTATTTCTAATAAAGTGGCCACTGAGTGTAAAAAACACCTTTACATCACTCTATTAATGACATACTGCATTTCTACCACTGGTGTCAGTTCACTGAATATTGAAAGTAAATGTATGTTTTAAGCCAGAGATGCACTTACAGCAGCCATGGAGTTGATCTGGTCTATGTAATACTCTGGCCAGCTTGTTGCTCCTTTATTCTCCTCCTGCTCCTGCACATCAACAAGAAATAAAGCAGATTAGCTGTGACACAAGCTTCACTGGGCTTGGTTTGCATGTATTTTCCCAAAAAACAAACACACAATCATAACATTTGCACAATTTAACAAAAAGTCAAATTTAGTAAGTCAAACAGGTCTATTAAAGCAAATGCTTAAAGCTTGGCAAAGTATCTAATTTACACAGTTTCTTATCACAAATATAGTCAATCAGCCAAGATAGGTTTTGTTTGAAGGCTTCTTAGGTTTACACTGGAGCAACTTCAAACATGTGGACTGTGAGTGTGGGAAACAATGTGAGTGTGAGTAGGTGTGTGTACGACTGAAGATTTGCACTAGGAAGGAGCATGTATGTGTACAATTGTGTTTATATGTGTACCAAACCATTTCTTTTTGGTTCTCGAGGTTAAGATTAGGGTTAGGTTTAGGATAAGGCTTAGAACATTCTTGTTTTATACGGGTTACATGCTTAATACATCAGGAACACACACACACACACACACACACACACACACACACACACACACACACCGATCAGGCATAACATTATGACCACCTCCTTGTTTCTACGCTCATTGTCCATTTTATCAGCTCCACTTACTGTATAGGTGCACTTTGTAGTTCTACAGTTACAGACTGTAGTCCATCTGTTTCTCTGATACTTTGTTAGCCCCCTTTTACCCTGTTCTTCAGTGGTCAGGACCCCCATGGACCCTCACAGAGCAGGTACTATTTTGGGTGGTGGATCATTCCCAGCACTGCAGTAACACTGATGTGGTGGTGGTGTGTTAGTGTGTGTTGCGCTGGTCTGAGTGGATCAGACACAGCAGTGCTGCTGGAGTTTTTAAACACCTCAGTGCCAAAAATATCCAGCCAACAGCGTCCTGTGGGCAGCGTCCTGTGACCACTGATGAAGGACTAGAGGATGACCAACACAAACTGTGCAGCAGCAGGTGAGCTATCGTCTCTGACTTTACATCTACAAGGTGGACCGACAAGGTAGGAGTGTCTAATAGAGTGGACAGTGAGTGGACACAGTGTTTAAAAACTCCAGCAGCACTGCTGTGTCTGATCCACTCAGACCAGCGCAACACACACTAACACACCACCACCACGTCAGTGTTACTGCAGTGCTGAGAATGATCCACCACCCAAATAGTACCTGCTCTGTGAGGGTCCATGGGGGTCCTGACCACTGAAGAACAGGGTAAAAGGGGGCTAACAAAGTATCAGAGAAACAGATGGACTACAGTCTGTAACTGTAGAACTACAAAGTGCACCTATATAGTAAGTGGAGCTGATAAAATGGACAATGAGCGTAGAAACAAGGAGGTGGTCTTAATGTTATGCCCGATCGGTGTACACACACACACACACACACACACATACATTATATACTTATAAATAAGTATTTTAAATGTATATATACATGTACATATTTGACCCCATGTCCTGAGAATGTATAAAATAAACGAGTGTTTGTGTGATCGTGTGTTTGAGTGTATTTAACGCTGACCCTTTAACACTGAAGCTCACACACATTCTTGGATTGTAGACCTGAATTTCTGAACGTTCTGAAGCTTGGATCCGACTCCAGTCCTGGCGATGGATAAAAAAAAAGCCAACAAGCAACAACTCCAACAATCGGTTCTTTAAAAGACTGCGGAGAGGAAACAATACTGTAGTGTACTGGGCTTTGACATCTATAATATCCAACTGTTGCCTCATTCAGCACAAGACTATGTAACTCTGGGAAAGAGTGCGCGTGTCCAGAGGTCCAAACCTCCAATGAACACCACAGCATTTTGACCGTAAGCGTCCAGGAATGTCTTCAACAAGTACGCTTATTGTTTTATAGCCATGTTCTGCAATTATGCAATTTATCTAAACTATTCTGGACCTCAGGGTGCAGAGTAAGCCCTGGAGGCTGATAGGAAAGAGACACTCTCATTAATAAAGCACAAAAAAACATCATTCCACACATTCACTGGTCAGTCTGTGGTCTGTATGGACCCTCCATCTCAAGACAGCAGTGTTATCCTTCATTATAGAGTTAAGAGACTTTTCACCACTGAACATGAGTTTGATCACGAGCTGGGACCCTTTTCACCACAGCGAGCCAGGAGAATTTTCTCCATGGTACAGGAGTTTGACTGGGCCATGAGGTGTGAAACTCCACACCCTAGTAGTGAAGTTTGACTGGGCCGGAAGCCGTGAAACTTTTTACTGCAGCACAGGAGCTTGACTGGGCCGCGAACCAGGACACCACTCACTGCATTAGTGTCTGGGCAACAAGCCGCGAGACTCTATACCACGGTAGCAGAGTTTGAATGGACGGCATGCTGGTAAAGTTTTCATCGTGGTGCTGGAGTTTGACTGGGCCGTATGTTGGGAGATTTTTTCACCCCAGTGCATTCATTTGACTGGGCCGTATGTCAGGAGATCTTCACCGCAATGCATGAGTTTGAGTGGACCGCATGTCATGAGACTTTTCGCCACAGTGCAGGAGTTTGACTGGGTCGCATGTCGGGAGACTTTTCACCACAGTTCAGGAGTTTGACTGGGCCACATGTCGGGAGACTTTTCACCACAGTGCAGGAGTCTGACTGGGCCACATGTCGGGAGACTTTTCGCCACAGTGCAGGAGTTTGACTGGGCCGCATGTCGGGAGACTTTTCACCACAGTGCAGGAGTCTGACTGGGCCACATGTCATGAGACGTTTCACCACAGTGCAGGAGTTTGACTGGGCCGCATGTCGGGAGACTTTTCATCACAGTGTAGGAGTTTGACTGGGCCGCATGTCGGGAGACTTTTCACCACAGTGCATGAGTTTGACTGGGCCGCATGTCGGGAGACATTTCACCACAGTGCAGGAGTTTGACTGGGTCGCATGTCGGGAGACATTTCACCACAGTGCAGGAGTTTGACTGGGTCGCATGTCGGGAGACATTTCACCACAGTGCAGGAGTTTGACTGGGTCGCATGTCGGGAGACTTTTCACCACAGTGCAGGAGTTTGACTGGGCCACATGTCAGGAGATCTTCACCACAGTGCATGAGTCTGACCAGGCCACGTCATGAGACTTTTCGCCATAGTGAAAGCTCAACTGGGCTGCACACTGGAAGACTTTCTGACCACGGCACTGGAGTTTGACTGGGCCGAATGTTGTGAGATTTTCACCGCAGTGCATGAGTTTAACTGGGCCACGCACCGTGAGACTCTGGGCTGCAAGTCAGAAGCTAATTGGTGGGGTGTAAGTTTCCATCACTCGTTAGCTACAGTAGCATCACTGCACCAGGGTAAAACTAAATCAGCAAATATCAGACACCAACCATGTTTAGGCTGATCAACTACGTTTGAGGAAAGAGGGAAAAGTGTGTACATTTGTATTTTGGCCAAACCATCACTTTTAAAGAAGGTACAGTTGCGTCTTTAGGTTGAGATGTTCCTCACTCGTGTTTTCAGGTTGAGATGTTGGCTCCTTCTGAATGAGTATGAATGTATGACTGGTTGATGTCTGAGTGCTTGCCCAGATCAAAGCATCTCCTCTGAAGTCTGTATGAGCCGCACTGATACAACCAGTGATTAATATAGCGAAGGTGTTTTCGTTTGGAGCTCGTGTCTGTAAGTTAACCTTCGTCTGGTTCCAAACACAACACGGTCTGTGGTTTGAAGCGGGTTCTCTGTGGGTTCTGCCCATTTTGCCACATCTGTTAGTAATCTGTGAGCTGGTGGAGCTGATGAGGCACGTGCCTTCACTGTCTCTTACAGAGCAGGAGATAAACTCACTTGTTAACGGCCGACATTTCGTTTGCTCCAACAAAAATGAGTTTGTACAGTGATTAACGACGCTGCTTTCATCCATGGTTCTAAATTGGATGTGAAGTTGGAGTCTTTAACCCTTTAAGGACAACTTAAAAAGCATTTTCCTGCTGTTTCATCTACTTTTCTTCTTTAATAATGCAGTTTTAAAACGCTTCATTTCGATATGTTCAGAATAAAATCTGACAAATATTTAGACAGATTAGCTACAGTAGCTTTAGAGCTTCAGGCACCAAACACGTCTTTACTGATCGACTACATTCAGACTAAGAGGTGAAACGGTATCAGTTAGATTTTTGGCTGAACTGTCGCTGTAAGAGGACAGTAGTGGAGACGGGACTCCTGTTCTCCTGCTCTCATCTGCTTTATTTGGCACCGAAGAGGAAAAAGGACTTAACGGACGAGTAACTCCTCTTTTCTCTCCCAATCTCTCTGTCACTTCTTCAGACACACTCCATTTTTTCTCCTTATTGCATTTCTTATCACTTTCTCGCAACCCCTTCAACTCTGAGGGTCTTACTTCTTACTCTAGCTCTCTCTCTGCTACCCTCTCACTCTATTTTCACTCTTTCCTTTCTTCTGTCTTTCTCTCTCTTTCTCACTCACTCGCTCTCTTCTTTCTCTCTCCCTCACTCTTTCACTCTTTCACCCTCTCCCCTTCTTTCTGAATCACCTCTCACTCAGTCTCTTTCACTCTCACACTGTCTCTCACACTCTCTCTCCTGCCTTGTCTTTCTTTCTCTCTCTCTCCCCTTCTCTCAGTACTCTCCCCCTTTTTCTTATTTGCCCTCTTTTGTCTCTCTCTCTTTGTTTCTCTCACTCTTTCCTCTCCTTTTCTCCCCCTTTGTTTCTTTCTCTCTCTTTCACTCTCACACTGTCGCTGTCTCTCTCTCCTGCCTTGTCTCTTTCTTTCTCTCTCTTGTCTTGTCTCTTTCTTTCTTTCTTTCTCTCTCCTGCCTTGTCTTTCTCTTTCCTCTCCTTCGCTCCCTTCTCTCTTTCTTGCTTCCTTCTCTCTCTTTCTTTCTCTCTCTCGCATGGTCTTTCTTTCTTTCTCTCTCTCGCCTTGTCTTTCTTTCTTTCTCTCTCTCCTGCCTTGTCTTTCTTTCTTTTTTTCTCTCTCCTGCCTTGTCTTTCTTTCTTGCCCTTTCTCTGTCTCTTTCACTCTCACACTGTCGCTGTCTCTCTCTCTCCTGCCTTGTCTTTCTTTTTTTTCTTTCTCGCCTTGTCTTTCTTTCTCTCTCTCTCTCGCATGGTCTTTCTTTTTTTCTCTCTCCTGTCTTGTCTCTTTCTTTCTTTCTTTCTCTCTACTGCCTTGTCTTTCTCTTTCCTCTCCTTCACTCCCTTCTCTCTTTCTTGCTTCCTTCTCTCTCTTTCTTTCTCTCTCTCTCGCCTTGTCTTTCTTTCTTTCTTTCTCTCTCGCCTTGTCTTTCTTTCTTTCTCTCTCTCCTGCCTTGTCTTTCTTTCTTTTTTTCTCTCCTGTCTTGTCTCTTTCTTTCTTTCTTTCTCTCTACTGCCTTGTCTTTCTCTTTCCTCTTTTCTCTCCTTCGCTCCCTTCTCTCTTTCTTGCTTCCTTCTCTCTCTTTCTTTCTCTCTCTCTCGCCTTGTCTTTCTCTCTCTCTCCTGTCTTGTTTTTCTTTCCTCTTTTCTCTCCTTCGCTCCCTTCTCTCTCTCTTTCTCTCTAGCTCTCTTTTGTCTCTCTCCTGCCCTCTCATTCTTCGTTTCTTTCTCTTTTTCTCTCTCCTTTTCTCTTCCCTTCTCTCTCTTCCTCTCTTCTTTTCTCTACCCTTTCCTCTCTCCCCTTCTCACTCCTTTTCTCTTTCTCCATTTCTTTCTGTCTCCCTATCTCTTCCTTTCACTCATCATTTCTCTTCCCTTCTCTCTTATGTCTTCTCTCTTTGTTTCTTTCTGTCTCTCTTTCTTTCTCACCTCTTTTCTCTCTCTCGCCTCTCTCCTCTTTTCTCTCCTTCTCTCTCTCTTTTTCTTTCTCTCTCCAGATGTTTAATCAGCTCTTTTTTTTATAGCAACTTAAAATAATTTCTAACACGGCCCAGAATATGATCTGCATTCTCACAGTCGAGCACATTAGAGCTGATGTTCTGCAGAAGGTCTTACCTTCTTCTTGCTGCAGTAGATCTGCCATTTCTTCTCGGCAGGCAGAGCGAACATGGCCTCTCTGTGTTTATCTGTGAGGTCCAGCTCATCCTTAAAGAGGAAACACAAATTTCATGTCATTTAAAAAAACAACAACAATTAAACTCCTCGGCCACTTTATCAGAAACCCCTCTCTTGTAGAACCTGCTCCACCCTGCTGCTGGTGTACGAGACTGTAGCTCATCTGTCGATGATCTATCTGTGTTAGTAATCTTCTAGCCCTTTATCAGTGGTCAGTTTCTGTCCACAGAGCCACTGCTGGATGGACATTTTTGGGTGGATGTCCACTATTAACCTAGCAGTGACACTGACACAGAGACGTGTGTAAAAACTCCAGCAGCACCACTGTGTCTGATACACTCGTACCAGCGCAACACACACTACCACGTCAGCGTCACTGCTGTGCTGAGACGGATCCACCACCCACGTAATATCTGGACAACAGCAGTCTTGTGGTCAGAAACTGACCAATGATGAATGGGGGAGAGTGGGGCTGATAAACTGTGCAGCAACAGTTTGTAATTGAACACCTACACAGTGGAGCGATAAGGTGTTTCTAATAAAGCGGCCATTGAGTGGATGTACAAGGTAGGCGTTTCTCTTTATATGTAATGCCACTCATTTGGATTGAAAGCATTTTTAATAAATACATATAATAATAAACTCACTGTGAGTTATTAAAAGAAAGTCTTTCAAAATTCCTGCACAATTAAGTGGTTAAGATGGAAGCAGAGTCATTCAGAGCGCATCTCTCCACCATCAATGGATTTTAAAAAATACATTTTAACCCAAAATCTTGTTTCAACACCATCATAAAACAATGTCTCACGTCAGGCAGTGTTTTCAAAACTATTTCATATAATAACTTTCTGTGAGGGAGGTTTTAGAGGCATTACAGGACAATCCTACCAATTTTTCAAAATTTCATCATTATTATATATGTAAGATATAAACAGAGTCGTTCAGAGTGGTTTGGTGTGAAACGCTCTGTTCTAGAGAAACTTACCGAGTCAGAATTGTTCACAGTGGTGGTGATGGGAACCAGACGTCCACCTCTAAAAGCTCCCTCACAGAAAGTTACTACATGAAATGGTTATAAATACGCTGCCTGATGTCTGAGACACTGTTTTATGATAGTTTTAAGAAGGTTTCGACCTAAAAAGTGTATCCACAGTGGAGGGTTACACAGAGGGCGCTTAGGTTCACTGGTGGTTTTGGATAGTAAATAAAATATCTATACTTGTGTTGTAGTCATGGCGACCCCTGGTTCCTATCACCACCACTGTAAAGACATCTGAACCATTTCACACCAAACCATCTGAATCACTCTGATTACATCTCAACAATTTACTTACTAAGAAAAGCAGATTGAATTCCTGTTTAAATGTATATAAAGTAACACACACACACTCACACACACACACACACATATCTTCTAAGCCGCTTATCCTTCTGGGTCGTGGGGGGAGCTGGAGCCTATTCCAGCAGTCACTGGGCGGAAGGCTATAAAGTAACAGAAATTTGTAATTTCATTTTTTTAAAATAGTAGTGTGATCCCAGGCTGACGGCCACACAATACTGCCTCATATTTATTCGGACACAGTCTGGAGTCTGTGAGGCTAATGAGGGGCCGGGCACTGTCCAAAAACCCACTTAACAAACTTAATGCACTATTAGTGGAGAATTCTCTGTGTTGCAGATAAACAGGACAAACATCGATTCACTGGGCAAACAGAGGAATGACTGAGAAACACAGAGTTCAGTCGGCTGAAGCCGCGTCGTGTGTCTGTTGTAACTGACTGCAGCTGATGTTTACAGCCTCGAACAAAATAAAAACACCATCCAGTTTAGTCAAGATCTTCAGTAATGGAACAAAAGCTTCACTGTAGATATAAAAATTTACAAGCGGATTCATAAAAATGAGATTTCCAGTCCAAACATTTTGTGCATTATGAAATGAAAAATGTGACAAAGGAGACCCTGAACTGCTGAGAAGCTGAAATCCTGTATCAAGCATGAACAGGAAAACATTTCACTTTCAGAACTACAGCTACAACTTTTTAATGTTATTAATAATAATATTAGGTGACCCTTATTAGTCCCACATTGGGGAAATTTCACCTCCGCATTTAACCCATCTGTGCAGTGAAACACCACATACACACTAGTGAACACACACACTAGGAGGCAGTGAGCACTCTTGCCCGAAGCGGTGGGCAGCCCTATCCACAGCACCCAGGGAGCAGTTGGGGGTTAGGTGTGTTGCTCAAGGGCACTTCAGTCACGTACTGTCAGCTCAGGGGATCGAACCAGCAACCTTCCGGTCACAGGGCTGGTTCCCCAACCTCCAGCCCACGACTGCCCCCACAAAAACATACTTGTAAGGCAATTTTCCTCCAAATGTTCATAACGCTAATGTGGAAGAGGCCACGCTGGAGAATGCGGGCACTGACCCCACTACCTCTCGCATGCTAAGCGAGCGCTCTACCATTTGAGCTAATTCCACTTGCATGTATAAAAATGTGTTGCTGGCATCAAATTCAAATTGGAATTTTTCAAAAAACAAAATTTCTCAGTTGCAACATTTGATCTGCTGTTTTTGTACCATTTTCAGTTAAATGTAGGGTTTAAACCAGGGGTGTCAAACCCAACCACTAAAAGGGCCACATTAAAAAATCTCAACAAATCTGTGGGCCAGATGAGTTTTTATTTCATTTCTGCTTAACATTTGACCTCACCTGCCATTGTTTATTCAAAATATGCCAAAACTGCAACAGCAAAATAGGCTTTTAATACTTAAACTATTAAAAAATAATGTTTTGTATAAATCAGTAAGCTACAGTAGATCAGTGTTAAACCTATTTAAAAGCCCCCAGGAGGCAGCTAATTTAAAACAGCCTATTTGCTTAAATTAGATATATATTTGCTCTTTGTGTAACTGCTGTCCCATAGATTGTTGTTCAGGGAAGGGGGTCAGAGTGCACATTATGTTGCAGTGCATGCTGGGGACTGTAGTGCAGCTCAGCGAAACGAGCTAATATTAATAGAAAACTAAAATAATTTAGGGGCCGAATAGGGTTGTGCCATGGGCCTGATTTGGCCCGCAGGCCTTGTGTTTAACACATGGCGTTTAACCCTTGTGTGGTGTTGATGTGTTTGTTACTCACTGGGCCGCTGGACCCACCATATTATTGTTTTTTATAATAAATACAGATGTTTAAAATATCAGTGTCCAGCGTAGGGTTCTCCTTTAGCAGCTGTAGCCAGTCAGCAGCCTGTCCATGTTTCCACCCTCACACACACACATATACAAACACATACACACACACACACACACACACACTAACAGCAGGCCATGTAGGAGGAGAACAGAGTGAAGGACACAGCACCTCCACACTTTTACTCCCCGCAGGTTCACCCAACACCACATGTGTAATATAAATGTGTGGGGGGTGAACAGAGTGAAGACACTGAAAATGGGTTATTTTATATGATCTTCACAGAAAATCAGCAAAGACCAAGAATCTGAGGTTGAAATAATAATAAATCACATCATTTTTATTTTTGGTAAACATTGAAAATGGTCCCCCAGACCTGAACACCACACAAGGGATAAATGATTTGCCCATCATTTTATTCTGATTTTATTTACATTTTGCCCAGCGTTCCAACTTTTTTGGGTTGTGTAAGATTTGAAATTACACCATCACATATCAGCTTCCGTTATGAGTTTCCCCAAAACTGAGGGTGAATTTATATGCAGCATAGATTTGAATTTAGACTCTCTGTTTTTTTGTCCATCAATTACACTTGATTATATCAAAAGTCAAAGTGACTCTTTGGTTTTCTCTCAGTTTAATCATTAAAATGATAGTTTTGCAAAATTATCAAGTTTATACTGTTTTGCCTGTTATTTCAAATGTATTCAGTCAGCCAAGTTTGGTGTCTAAGTTAGTTTTAGCACAGGAGCTATGAAGCTAATGTACCTAACAAGTAATAGAAGACTGCAGCCGCGTCCCAATTCAGGGGCTCCATCCTTCAGAGGCTGCATTTGAAGGCCGACTGTGTCACAGCGGTACAACTAGGCTGTCCCATTTAGAAGGCTTCATCACATGTGGCCGAGAAATGTGTCATGGCAACAAAGGATCCAACGGGTGGATCCCTCGCCAGCCAACATATCCCATGGTTAATTGCGTGGCGGCGAAGATTCAAAAACACCGTAGCGTCAGCAGAGGAGCGAACGGCGGCTGAGGAGACACTTTGAATGTAAGTATTGGGTTTAAACTGAGTCGAATAGCTAATGATACAGATGTTAAAAAAGCCAATGTGGTCTGAAGCAAAACTTACGCTACGTTTTGTTTTGTTTTAGAGAGCAAAGGGCCGACAGAGCGATTTATAAGACAGCAGGAGACTATTAAAAAAACTTAAAGTTTGTGGCTCCATCTTTAAAGAACTTTAAAAGAACTTGACAAGAGGGGAGTCTCGTGACGCGGCGGTGAGGGCGGGGATAGCGGTGCTGTGACGCAAACAGGAAATCCGCCGTAGAGCAGACCGTCTCATTTCAGATCAGCCTTCATGGGTCTACGCAGCCTTTGAAGGATGCAGCCCCTGAATTGGGACACAGCTCACATCCCGTTATAAATGTGGAAACCAGTCACTGGTTGACTTGGATGCTTGTAATGCTCAACATGGCGTCTGCTTACTGAGAAAGTCCCGCCCTTTAATAATCCGCCGTAGCCAGAATAATCCCAAAAATCGTGCTTTTTGTGCGTTACTGAGCCAAACGCTGCAAATATTTAAGAGATTTTTGTCCAATTTTACCAGAGATTTCAAATTTGTTTTTGAAACAGTAATTTGACCTTCAGTTTCGAGTATTTTGCTCTCTCCCCATTCAGGGAGATGGGAGTCTAGTCTTGTATGGCTGGAAATAACTGCCCGGCGGTGTTGCCAAGGCGGCTGCTGAATGGACATACTTTCCAATAAGGACTTTGTTATATACCAACAATTAGCATCACACACTCACCTCAAACAATGTGAAGCTGTTAAGTAATGTCTAACAGACTTGCTTAAGTGGTTTTGACACTGAAGGACACACTATAATAATGGCTAAAAAGCAGTCTGAGGTAAGTATGTAACGGTAAGTATGCAGTACCTGCACTCAGTACCTCAGTGACCTTATTTCCTATTATCAACCGACACGCCCACTTAGATCACAAGGTGCTGCTCATTATTAGTACCCAGAATTAATAAAGTTACGTCAGGAGGAGGAGCCTTTACATACAAAGCCCCCAGCTTTGGAATAGCCCACCAGTCTGTGTTCGGGACTCAGACAAGCCTCCATCTTTAAGTCTAGGCTAAAAACTTACCTGTCTAGTCGAGCCTTTGGTTAATTTGTTTTCCTAACTATGTCCCTCTTACCCCCCCCTCTTTCCCTCTCCCCCTCTTCTTCCCTGAGCTGAGCGGCTGCCTGTCCTAAGAGGGTCTGACCTGAGATGCGGCCGGCGCACTGCACAGTGGTGTTAAACTGTATCTACTTATACTGTTTTGTGTCTGTGCTGTTATCCGGTGTCGACCAGAGGAGGATGGGTTCCCCTTTTGAGTCTGGTTCCTCTCGAGGTTTCTTCCTCCTGTTGAGGGAGTTCTTCCTTGCCACTGTCGCCAAGGCTTGCTCACTGGGGGCGCGGACCCTGATTCTCTGTAAAGCTGCTTTGTGACAACATCTGTTGTAAAAGGCGCTATATAAATAAATTTGACTTGACTTGACTTGACTTAACGGTTTAGAGTTAGCAGCATGCTAAATGGTGAGGTTTCCATTGCTTAACTAGACCAGACTACATTCAGGGTAAAAGATCAAATGATGCACATTAGATTTTAACAAATTCATGCAAATACTTATGATGATGTTTTTAAAACAGTTAAAAATAGGACACAGCTAAGCCCCTGTGCAGCGTCAGCTAACCTGAGGCACCGTCAGCTCGTGTCATTAGCACGTTTCATAGAGCACCTCGCCTTTGTTTATTAGACACGCACAGCACGGTTACCATAACAGTGTTTAAGAGCAGCAAGTAAAGACAGACTTTACTTTCAGACTGGCTGAGCTCCAAATTTCCCTCAAGCTTCATTAGCGCAGACTTCCAAAGACTCATCGCTAACTAAGCGTTTGATTTGACTGCAGCAAAGCATCCTAAATGTGTTTAAATCAAATTTAATTACACATGCTGAGCGTTTCGCTACACTGACGGTCTCAGTCTCTGAGCACTTACAGACAGGGTTTTACCCCAACAGACTGACAGGCTGTTACTAATTAGCCCACACTTTAGCTTTTCCTTTCAGGCTAGGCTTTCTTAAGGGCCTGTATTAGCTTGTACCTGTTGCATTTCAAGAGACAGAGGCAGAGAACTTCAAAAGATATCATACATGATTTATGAAGTGACTTGTGCTGCTGTACAGTAATGGAAGTGCACACATCTTTCAGTTCAGTACTTCCTCTATAGGTAGTGTGTAGTCTACAGCTATGTCTGCTAGCCTGTCTGCTTTAGCTTGCGACGTTTGGGAGATTCCAGTGCTTTACTATCTGATATGACTGTCAGTTCTCTGTTGTCACATATCATAATCCCAAATAAACAGCCAAAATCCACAGTCTTGTAGCACATATACAATCAGTGTACTGTTTTATTTGATTTAGTTTTACGTTTTTATTAGTTTTGTAGTTGTTTGATTTGATTTATTAATCAAACACTGCGATTTTAAGCCCGATTTTGTTGGAGCCGACTGAATTTCATGATCGGGCTGAATTTCAGCTTCAGCAGCCGTTGTTTGCCATGCCGATTCCGATTAATCCGATTAAAGCGACCGTCCGATTGAGCAGTCAGACGATCGGACGGATTTCTGACATGTCCGAAATTTTGGCCGCTTGTCTCACAGTCTGAGCCGCCTCATGAACCGATTTCTCAAAGTCGCCCCCGAAACTTCTTTTCTTGTTTTATTTATTTATTTTTATCACTAATGTGGCTGACAGGTTTTTTTGTCTAATTAGGAGCAACAGTAAACAGTTCGATGGTCGCTGCTAGAAGAAGGAGTGATGAGGGAGATGAGTACGCACCACCAGTTCGGAGAACATGGCGTCCAGTTCCTCTGTGGGGGGCATGGGCAGGGCGGGCTCCATGGTCTGCAGGGTGAAGCTGCTGCCCTCCCGCAGACGGTACGTAATCTCCGGGTGGTCACTGCCCTTCATACAGCAGAAAAGGAAGGACAGACCCCGGCCTCCGCGCTTAGGGGGGGCCATCATTACCACCGAATAATCACCAGGAGAGGGGATACGCTTCAGCTACAGCAGGCTGAGAGAGAGAGAGAGAGAATAATGTTATTATAATCTATTATAATTGACCGTAATATCCAGTGCTACAGTGAACTCTACACATAACATGAACCCAAAGGCACATTAAGCCCCACCAACAGCACAGGATGGACAGATGTTTCCTTTATAATGTTCTGGGACTGATGTGGAGGCTGTGAGGCCTGTGCGGGTCAGGGGCGTAGCTGCAGGGGGACCTGGGGTAGAGCTTTAACAGAGCCTGATATTTTAGCCTGAACCAGAATACAGCCTGAGAATTTCCTGTCCAAGTCTGAGCCGACCCAAACCTGACCCAATCTGGCCAGTCCACACCTGACCCGAGCCCGAAATAATTCTGCCCAAACCCACATCATGAAGTTTTGAGTCCAAAACAGACCCAAACCTGCTCATCATGACCCAATGTGCCAAATAAAACCATCATCTGTTTATTCATCAAGCAATGCTTTGATACAACTTTCCAAACGTTTTTAGTCTGGGTAAACTTTCCATACTGCGCTGCTCTCGTGCTGTTTTGAGAACTTTTACCTGTTAATCCTAAACCTTTATCTCTTCACATAGAACACCTTACATACAGTCAAATGCGCAAGTTTGATCAAACTGCATGTTTTGTTCATTTTCTAAATGAAAATAAGTTAACAAGCTCTTAAACGCGACTTATTCTGCACATTTTAGTGAACAATTTCCTTTTACTGAGTTTAAAAATATAAAATGAGCTATAACTTCTGCACAGCCCACATTTTATGTTTCCTGTTTTCCCCCCTATATGTTGAATTCAGTAAATAAACAATAATTGTGCATTAATATGTGTAGAAATGTGTTCTCTGTAGAGGACGTGTTAACTTATTTTCTAATTTTATGTTCAAACCTTTGCACACAACTGTAATATATTGAGCAAGTAAAAACACCGAAAAATTTCTTTCTTAAGACTGTCTCAGAGAAATAAAGCAGTATTATCCCAATATTATATTAATGATCACTGATTTCTTGATTCTCTTTGTTCTCGAAATATTACGACTTTATTTCTCGAAATATTACAACTTTATTTCTCGAAATATTACATCTTTATTCTCAAAATATTACTACTTTATTATCAAAATATTATTACTTTATTCTTGGAATATTACAATTTTTTTCCGTAAACAGTACGAATTTATTCTCGAAGTCCACTATTTTTAGTTTTATTAACAGTGGCCCTAAAACGCCATCATAAAATGTTCGGCTGCACTAAACTGTCCTAACCTGAACTCAGTCAGTGTAACATTTTGTCAGCACGCTGAGTGACTCCAGCACAGCAGATTAAAAAGTACTTAATTTAGTGGAGGCAGTGAGGAATACAATAAGGACAATAACTAAAGCAGCGAGAAAGGCAGGTAAAATCTGTTAAAAGTGGCATTCAGGCTGTGAGAACCCGAACACAAAATCTGAACCCAACACGATTTCAGAAAATGACATCCGAACACGACGTGAGCAGTCGGGTGCCATCGGTTTGGACAAGTATATTCAAGCTCTAGCCTGGGTGGGCTATGCCTTCTCTCAGGACCAGACCCCCCAGATTTCTGAGTGCTACAAATAAAAAATGTCATTTTTGTGCTCTTATAAAACAGGATGAACGCATTGGTGCTGAGTTCTTCAATCCTGAGGTCTTTTTCCATTTCCTTACACCACCATCGGCTGCATACCTTCACTGTCCTACACCACCTCTGAAATGAGGCAGAGAAGAACTCGCCCCGCCCCATGCCAACATGTAAACACAGTACTACCAGCTATCTGCAGACAGAGGTGCCTGGATATCTCAGAGACATTTAATAGGACATAAAACAATTCAGGAGTAATAACACTTTTTTACTTTGCTGGAAACACTAATGAACAACACTTCCTTTCCCAAACCTCATATTTAAGCCATAAACTCACCCAAATAGAGTAAAAAATAAGGTAAGTTACAATTTTCACTGTAAAAATGTAAAAATTTAACAACACCAGTAAAGCAAGGGGTCAAACAAAGTGGCCAGTGAGTTTATCTCTTACATTTCTCCTGTAAGGGTCTTCCTTAACTCTTAAATCTGTGTTTATGGGCCTGTATGTGTGGCTATCAGGCCTGCCTTATCTGAGATAAGCACAAACACGAGGCTGTTTCACTTTCTTTATGAACACACGGAAATGTTTGTGTATAGGTGTGAGCATTTTATCACCAGTATCTTCATAATTAAACTCAGGACAAGCTTAAATGAGAATGTCAAGTATATTGTGCATGTAAAGGGGAACGCCACCCACTTTTCCAAAATTAAGAAATTTCTCTTAAGATGTAAACAGAGTGATTCAGAGTGGTTTGGTGTGAAATGGTTGATTGTAGAGACTCAGATTTCTTTACATTAGCGATGATAGGAACCAGGGGTCGCCATGACTACAACACAAATATAGACATTTTATTTACTATCCAAAAATTGCGGTGAAGTGAGCTTTTGTAGGTAACTCTGTATGTTAGGATGGATATTTTAAAACATTTTTTAGGCCCAAAAATCTTCTCAGAATAGTGTCTCAGAAATCAGGCGGTGAATTCATAACCATTTCACATAATGAACTTTCTGTGAGGGAGCTTTTAGAGGTGGACGTCTGGTTCCTATCACCACCATTGTGAACAATTCTGACTCTGTAAGTTTCTCTAGAACAGAGCGTTTCAGACCAAACCACTCTGAATGACTTAATTATATTATATTTAATATATTTAACATTTAATTATACAGAAATTTTGAAAAATCGGTGGATTTCTCCTTTAAAGAGATTTTTTCAGCCAAAAAATAAAATGTACATACTGCACAGTTTCCTCCATCATTAGCTACATTAGCCTTGCAGCTCCAGTGCAAAACGACAGAAGCAAACCTCAGACACTGAACACGTCTTGGCTGATCAACGACATTTGGTGGAGATTCTTTTGCCAAACTATCGCTTTAAGAGCTGGAGCAGCAGCTGAAGGTCGAGTCAATCATTTCCAGCCTGCGGTCAGATTTCTCGTGGGACTTGTCCTTGCTCACACGGCTGGAACAACACATTTCACCTGCCAAAAAACCCAAACTCTGACCTACAGAAGGCCACTGAGCAAACAGTGTCCTTCAGCTCAGACTCCAGACAGCAGCTTATCATCCAAAACACAAAAAACCCCAAAACCTTCAGATCTCAACTGCCACCAACAACACACAGGGACAAAACCACAAAACCCTTATTCAGAATAGACCTCGGAAGTCGTGTCGTCATTCTGTAGTTGGTGTCGTGGCCACATTAGGAACTAAGCTGGTTTATCTATGGAGAAAAGAAAGGAGTTTTCAAAAATCGCTGCTGTCGCGTCTGGAGGTAAACAAAAATGTTCCAAACACGATACGTTTTGCCGTACAGACATTCTTACGCCAAGTGTTGCTGAATTCTGAGGTTGTTAAACAGCCAAAATATGAATATTGCTACACTGCTGTACGATGAACTGACACAAACTAGCAAACTCTGTTGAATGTGGTAGTTAAAAGGGAGTTTCAAATGCTCTTTCACATTTTCTGCATACTTAAATGGTTGAGATGTAAACAGAGTCGTTCAGAGTGGTTTGGTGTGAAACGCTCTGTTCTAGAGAAACTTAGAGTCAGAACTGTTCACAGTGGTGGTGATAGGAACCAGACGTCCACCTCTAAAAGCTCCCTCACTGAAAGTTAACACAGGGAATGGTCATGACTACACTGCCTGATGTCTGAGACACTGTTTTACGACACTTTTAAGAAGTTTTTGGCCTAAACAACATCCAGAGTGGAGGGGTACATGCAGGGCGCTTAGGTTCACTGGTGGTTCTGGACAGTAAATAAAATGGCTATATTTGTGTTGTAGTCATGGTGACCCCTGGTTCCTATCACCACCACTGTAAAGAAATCTGAGTCTCTATAAATCAACCATTTCTCACCAAACCACTCTGAATCACTCTGTTTACATCTCCACAAAAGTGGATTTCCCCTTTAAGTTGCTTTGGCAGTTTAGGCTGCAGTTTGAGTAGCTGGTGTTGGTATAACAGTGTTGAAGTTTGATGGTCACCCTATGTTAATGCAACGCCATTTCAATGAGTTCACCTTCATTGAGTTCAATTAATTTAATCAATCCTTCATTGGGTTAAATCAGTTAAATCAACCCTTCATTGGGTTAAACCAGTTTAATCAATCCTTCATTAAGTTATATCTGTTTAAGCACTCAAGTTCAATCAGTTTAATCAATCCGTCATGAAGTTAAATTACTTTAATCCTTCATTAAATTAATTTACTTAAATTTGTCATTAAGCTTAAATCAGTTTAATTAGTCCTTTATTAAGTTCAATAATTTTAATCATTTCCTCACCCAGTTCAATCAGTTTAATCAATCCTTCATTGACTTCAATCAGTTTAATCAACACTTCATTGAGTTCAATCAATTTAATCAATCCTTCATTGAGTTTAATCAATCCTACACTGAGTTCAATCAGTTTAATCAATCGTTCATTAGTTCAATCAGTTTAATCAATCCTTCATTGAGTTCAACCAGTTTAATCAATCCGTCACTGAGTTTAGTCAATCCTTCATTGAGTTCAATCAGTTTAATCAATCCTTCATTGAGTTTAATCAATTTAATCAATCCTTCATTGAGTTCAATCAGTTTAATCAACCCTTCATTGAGTTCAATCAGTTTAATCAACCCTTCATTGAGTTCAATCAGTTTAATACATACACACATACATACATCATCTAAACCGCTTATCCTTCTGGGTCGCGGTGGGGTGCCGGAGCCTATCCCAGCTGTCATTGGGCGGAAGGCAGGATACACCCTGGACAGGTCGCCAGTCCATCGCAGGGCAGACAGACAGACATACACATTCACACGTAGGGGCAATTCAGCATGTCCAATCAGCCTGACTGCATGTCTTTGGACTGTGGGAGGAAACCGGAGTACCCGGAGGAAACCCACACAGACGCGGGGAGAACATGC